GATCCTGGGCGCGCACGGAGGCACCGCTTCTCTGGCCACGCTGAGGCCGCGTCCCACATACAGCAACTAGAAGGATGTGCAGCTATGACATACAACTATCTACTGGGGCTTTGGGGGAAAAAATAAATCAATAAAATTAAAAAAAAAACATTTTTAGTGATAGATTACTATATGATTCTTGACATACAACTAGGCAAGAATTGAGGGCACTTTTAACAAAACTTCCAGTTCCTATTTACTTCTATGAATGGGATTTCATAGCACTTACAGCTTTAAAAAAGAGAGAGAAAGGAAAACAGAAAAGAATCAGTGTTGAACCTTGTCTCTTCCAGCAAAAAGCATTCATCTATGGATACTAATTGGACTAATTGGGAGGGGGAAGAGGAAAGCTCATTAAGGTCTTTAAGAGATGAAAGGCCAATACCATTTTGCTTTTTATATTTAATAAGTATCAGTGTTGTGATATATTTTATTTTGATCAATTGTGTACTAGTAATTTTAATTGAATCGAGAAATAAAAGCCTGGGGCCTGCCCAGTGGCATAGTGGTTAAGTTTGCCCACTCTGCTTCCCTGGCCCAGGGTTTACAGGTTTGGATCCTAGGCGCACACCCATGCACTGCTTGTCAAGCCCTGCTGTGGTGGCGTCCCATATAAAGTAGAGGAAGATGGGCACTGATGTTGGCCCAGGGCCGATCTGCATCAGCAAAAAAGAGGAAGATTGGCATCGGATGTTAGCTCAGGGCTAATCTTCCTCACACACACACAATAAATAAATAAAAGCCTATGATTAGGAAATATAAATTAATTTCTATTTTTGTGGTAGGGTAATCAATAAGACTTTGAAGCATGAAAAACATTACCTATGGACATAGGAGTTCAGGGAGAGAAAGGAATGATGTAAACTTCCTGATTGTTAAAGAAGAGCTTAGTTTAAAAAAATAAAAGGATGGTGGTGGGTTTCAAATTGCCATGGTATTTAGATTTCTTTGGATATGTTGTGTGTCAATATTTATAATTGCTGAAAATTATCCTTTTCGGCTACTTAAACATGTAATGAAACGTTTTAGATAGCAGTTTGACGTGCAATGGAGAATGGGGAACGGAGGCCGGTGGCGGAAGGGGAGAGAAGCGTGTTTGCAGACCACTGGGCCGCAGCCAGTTTTGTAAGAGGATCCTATGGGAGGCCGCCAGCTTTGGTCAAAAGAGTAGGATTCCGTTCCAGTCTCCAACTCTCGAAATATTTGAGACCTTGCGCAAGAAACTTTCTGTCTTAGTTTAGCTCATTTGTAAAACTGGGAGACTACTACCTTGCTGGGTTGTTGCAAAAATAGAGATAACGTATGCAAAGCATCTGGTCCACCGTAAACAAGAACTAGGAGCCGTGTGATTGTTGAGTGTTATGCACAGGAGTCCCGAGCTAAGGCAACGGGAGGTGATCCGGCCTGGTCTGCAAACTCCCTGGCCTCTGACCCCTCTTCCGGGTGAACATTGTGAACCGGTCCTCTTGCCGCCCGGACGCCGTGCCCCGCCCAGTTCCCTCGCACGGCTCCGCCCCGGCCGCCTGGAGGCGCGGCAGCCCCGAGAACCCGGATCCACCCGGGACGCTTCTCTCGCCCCGCGGAGCCGGCGGAGCAGGTATGCTGCGGGCACGCACCCCTTAGTCCTTACCCCGAGCCGCCCCCACGACTCCAGGAGCCGCGGGGAAAGGGATGGAGTCCCCGCCGGGGGAGACTGGGGCTGCAGAGAACAGGTCTCGCTTCCCAGGCCGCGTCCGTCTCCATGGCAACGCGCAGCGCACCGAGCTCCCGGGCAGGAGCGAGCTCCGGCGCCCACCTGCCGGCCGCCTCCCAGAGTGGCCCTAAAGGAGAGGAATTTTTCCCGAAACCTGGGGACTCTACCTCCTGGTGCCACCTGGCCGGGAGAGTGGCAGTCCCGCAGTTCCCGCGCTGGTGCCCTCGAGTTCCGATTCCGCAACCGCCACCCTCAAAACCCGGTCCTCAGGTGTCCCCAGACTCCCCTGGCTGCGGAGCTGGTTCCAAGCCCCATTCCACCCAGTGGTACCCCCTTCCTACCCTGACGCAGATTACTCAAGAACAAAACCTGCCTGCTCACTCAATTTTTTAACATCATTATTATGCCCTAACTGTAGTATAAAGGAGAAATGCAAGGAAACAGTTTATAATCAAGTCTGTATTTCCATCTGTAAATGCTTGGTACTCCTACACTCAAAGAAACAGTGAAGTAGCCGGGGGCCCGCGCCAGGGTTGGAGTCACCTGACGGTGACCACCGCAAACTGTTAGGTCTCGGCTACCAGGAGCAGCGCGGCCAGTGGGGGCGTGATTTTCCAAAAACGGTCAGCAGTTCTTGGTAAAGTTCCAAACTAAAGTGCAGTCAAGTCTTGATTTACGTGTAGTTGCGTTCCTCGAAAATTCAGTGTTAATTAGAACTGTGCAAAAATTACTTCGTATTTAGATGTAAGATAAAGTTTGGTTCTAGCCGCAGATTATTATAAACGGATTTTTCCACGCACGTGAATGTGTGAAGAGACTTTCAAAGGTTGTAGGGCCGCGTATAATCCTTTATTGTGCGGGACTGTCGCTTGCATCGCAGAATCTTAGTATCTGAGGCCCCAACCGCTTCTAAATGCCGTAGTGCCTCTCCGTCTCTGCGAACAGAAGAAAACTCCATAATTTTCCAAAATGTCCCCTAGGGGGCAGCACCTTCCCACTGAGAAAGGCTGGACTGTAACACTACGTGAGCGTAAGTACATTCCTGCTTTACAGAGAGATGCCAAGCGCCGCGGGTATCATATCTTTCATTCTCAGAACAAATGTGCAAAACCAGGTATTGTTATTTGCATTTTAGAAATTAGGAAAGTGAGGTTTTTCGAGGTTAAGTGACTTGCCTAAGATCACAACACTACAGTGTATCAAAGCTGAGCTACAACCCAAGTCTGACCTCGGAGCTCCCCCCACCCCGAGAAGCTGTGTCTCACTTTGTTACTTCTGGCAACAAAAGAAAGTTATCTGACTGTCTTGGCGAGGTGGAAAGGAAAGTTTTAGCAAAATGAGTTCTTTTGCATTTTAGTGATCAATTTTCTGACTTCGTTAGTGTTTATGAAAAATGTGCGATAAAATTTCTTTACTCTAATTCCAGGAACCTCTGTGCATTGGAGACCATGGATAAATATGATGTGGTTAAGGCCATTGGGGAAGGTGCCTTCGGGAAAGCTTACTTGGCCAAAGGGAAATCAGATAGCAAGCCCTGTGTTATAAAAGAGATCAATTTTGGAAAGGTAAGTTAAGAAGTTCTAATTCCTGTTCATTTTCAGTGGTATATTCAGCAGGCTTTTAATCCAGTATAAAAGGAAACACATTTTTGTGTGTGTATGAACAAATATGAACTTTAGCCTCATTTGACTCTTGTTGTTAACCTCCTAAATCCATTGTCCTCACAATCTCCTAAGGTCCATTGTCCAAACAGCAACCAGTGATCTCATTTTTTTAAAAAAGAAAAGGAAATAAAGAAAAAAAAGAAAATCCCATCCGTCTGGCTCCTACGGCCTCTGTAGGGTGGCCTGCGAGGCCTATGAGGTTGCACCCTCCTCTGTTGCTCTGAGTTTTCTGTTTTGCTCTGGGGTGGTGCACTTCCTCTGACTCTCTCTTTATTTTCAGGTCGCCTCCACAAGTGGACCTTCCCCAAACATCCTAGCCAAGGCTCCCCAACCTCAACCACTCCTGGCACACCCCCCGGGTTTATTTTCTTAATAGCCTTTATAATGATCAGAAATGACTTTGCTCACTTATTTCTTCACTCGTTTATCATCTGTCTCCCTCAGCATGCAGAACAGTGCCTGGCACATAATAGGTCTCAAAAATATTATTGAATGTGTTGAGTGAATGGAGGAAAACCGTACATTATTGTTAGTCTAATGAGTTTGGAAAATAAGTATATTTAATTAAAAAGGAATTATTTTTGCTAAATTCCCCTTGGTTGGAGTTTATGTCACCCTCTCTAGTGATGTGTTTGTTTTAAGATATATTGGGACAACAGTGTCCATGGTATGCTAGAATTAATTTTAAGGCAAGTCTTGTTGGTTGCCTTCTAGAGGATTTATAAATGAGAGTAGCGGAAAAACTTCTGTGCAAAATGTGTACAAAATGGAATACTCAAATTGTACAATGTGAGTGTACATAATGCCACTGAACTGTACACTTAAAAATGGTAAAAATGGTATACATTTTATGTTATAAATATTTTATCACAATTTTTAGAATTGCAAAGAAAAAAGACTACCCAAACTTACATTAAAGCTCATGTGTAGATGATTAGCTTCTGCAAGAATGCTTTATTTACCAATATAGGTCCCTTTTCATGGATCCATGGTATACTTCTAATGACCTCTTATTCTAGTGGCCTGAAGAGCTTCCTTCCACACTATTCTGCTCTGTCTCTTTTGTTTATCTGACTGCTCTTTCTCAGGCCTCTCTGTCTGCTCACTCTCTCTATGTCCCCAGCCCTCTGTCCTTTGCTGACTCTCTTCTCTTTCTGGACATCGTCACCTGGCAGTTGTCTCACCTCAGTTGTCTTTACCACTAAGCAGATCACTCTTAAAACTCTCTTCAGCCCCGATATCTTTCAGCTCCCTAGTCCTGCGTTCCCTCTGCCAGCTAGGTATCTTCAACACAGCTAGCTATCTGTGTTAGTAATCTATTGCTGTGTAACATATTACCCCAAACTTAGTAGCTTATACAATAAACATTTATTATCTCGCAGTTTCTGTGTATCAAGAATTCAGGGTGAGGATCACGGAGGACCATCTTGGAAGCCGGCTACCACAAGTGTACCCCAAACAAAGCAAAAATTTCTCCTCTTTCTAAGCAGACCCATGCCACCTGCTGTGTGCGCTGTGTTCATGACATCAATGGCCTTATGATATCCAGACTCAAACCCTATGGGTCATCTGTGAATTTTTTCTCTCCCCACATCCAATTACTTGCTAAACACTCTTTCTCTCCCTTGAATTTGCTTCATTCCTTTTGTCAATACCCTGGGTTACTTGGATCACTTCAATAGCTTTCTCACAGCTCCAGCTTTCCTAGAGCACAATTTTGATAATGCTCCAGCTATGCCCCCAAACCTTCCCTGGGACAGAAGTCATAAAGGAAAAGATGGCTAGCTTTGACTACATAAAAATATAAAGCTTCTATATGTCAAAAACAGTATGAATCAATTGAACAAAAATTGACAAAATGCCAATTAGCAAGTATTGACTAAAAGGCCTTTTATAAATCAATAAAAAGACAAAACCCGTAACTGAAGTCATCATACAAAAATTTCAAACTCATTAAATGTAAAATAAATCAATAAATACCACGTTTTGCTTATATAAATGGGGAGGATTAAAAAGAATGTAAAATGGGGGAAAGTGGGCCCTCTCTTGCTCCGCTGATGGGAAGGTAAATTGGTACCACCCTGAGGGGATGTTTATGAGTATGTATCAAAGGCTTAGAAGGATCCATGCCCTGTTTGTATTATTGACAAGGAGTAAAAATCACTTATAACCTCTCTCTTAATCACTATTAACATTATGGTGAATTTCTCTCCAGGCTATTTTTAATGCATAAATGTACTTTATAAGTTGTTAGAATGATTGGTGTCATGGTAGGTATACTCTTTTTTTTTTAATTTTTTTTTTTGTGAGTGTGAGGAAGATCAGCCCTGTGCTAACATCTGCCAATCCTCCTCTTTTTTTTTTTGCTGAGGAAGACTGGCCCTGGGCTAACATCCGTGCCCATCTTCCTCCACTTTATATGGGACGCCACCACAGCATGGCTTGCCAAGCAGTGCATCAGTGCAGTGCCGGGGATCCAAACCAGTGAACCCCGGGCCGCTGCAGCGGAGCACACGCACTTAACCGCTTGCGCCACTGGGCTGGCCCTGGTAGGTATACTCTTTTATAGCAGCTTTTTACACTTAGCAATATATTGTGAATATTTTTTCATGTCATTTAATTTTTTCATATCATAAAATATTCTCATATAATAATATTAAATGTTCACAATAATAATAATAATAGTTACCACTTACTTGGTGCCTGTTATATGTCATACCATCCAAGGTGTTTTACATATATCAACTTAATAAATCCTCACAATAACCCTAAAAGGTACATCTCATTGCCCTTATCGTCAGTGAAAGAGCCGAGGCTCAGAGAGGTTGAGTAACTTGCTCAATGATGCACAGGAACCAGCAGATCCTTTTAACTCTTCCCCTGATCTTTCTACAATAGCACATTGCCTCCCTTGATTTTTGATGACTGTATAGTATGACATCAGGTTAAAAATACCATAATTTATCCAACTCTTTTTCTATTTTCAGACAATTATGTTGTTTGATATTTTTTGCTATGATTAAATAACATCTAGTATGTAGAACATGAGTCATTTTTGTTAAACTATGTATATATGTTTACCGATATGTGCTTTAAATAAAAAGGTCTAATAATTAACAGCAGTTACCCCTAGGGAATAGGAATTCATGGAATGGGTGGGGAGGAAAAGGAGAAGTTTCACTTTTATCTTACTTCTAATCTGGCTTAAAATATTCCTTAAAATCACAAGTGTGTATTATTAGAGTCATTAAAAAACTAATAATAAAACAGTGTAATGAAGCCTTTGGTATGAGAATCCTTGGTACATTTCTGATTATTTTCTTTGGATAAATTTCTAGAAGAATTAATAAGTCAAAAATAGGAGCATTTTAAAGTTGCTTATTACATATTGTAAAATTGCCTTCCTAGAAAGATTTTACCAATGTATCTACTCACACCAGAAGTATCTGAGTGTCCGTCTTGCTGCTTTCTGGATAACACTGTGTATAACATTCTTTTTGTCTTTGCCAATTTCACAGATGAAACATTATATCAAATTTTGTTTTAGTCTGTGTTCTTTTGATTACTGAGTGAGGTTGATTTTTTTTTTCTGTCAGCCATTTTTCTTTCTTTTATTTTTTGTGAGTTGCCTATTCATGTATTTTTCCAAATTTCTATTAATGTGTTTGCCTTTTTTTCTTATTAATTTGTCAGAACTCCTTATGTATTATAAATATAAAAATCTTTATCATATATTATTCCAATATTTTTACCTAATTATAAAAATACAGTTACCTCTGTTTGCCTTTTAATTTTGTTTATAATATTCTTTTGAAAAATAGTAATTAAAGTAGTTAAGTAGCTAAGTCTATAAATCTGGTAGGAGTAATTCAGTTATTTTTGTTTTGAAACTCATGTGTACCAACTATGCAATTTAAATTGGGGCAGAAGATACAGAAAGCTTAGAAGATTTAAATAACTTACTGAAGGATACATAGCTAGGAGGCAGTAAAGCTGGGATTGAGAATGTTGATTTTTTTTAAATTCTCAAATCTAAATGAGGAAGAGAAATTTGGGAACTCACACATTATGTGTGGGCGAACGTTGAAGAACCTTGCAGAGAGAGCAGTGGAGAGGAACAGGTGACCCGTGGAGGCCAGAAGTGTAGGACAGGCAGGTGCCAGAAGTCAGGGTAGAAGTGACAAGTTGGCATAGTATCAAGAATGAGGAAGAAAGGGTAGATATGAGATGTGGCCACTAGCATTAGCACCAAAATATTTGAAAAGTATTGTCCATAGATGATAAATAGAATGGTAAGAAAATATAGCAAATCTAAAATGAAGTCACAAGAAACAATTTTTATTTGAAAATGAAAAATGTAATAGTCTTAACACAGAACTTTACTGGTCTGTTTTATGTGATCTATGACACATTTTCTTTTATTATATTTAATTTGTTTCTTCTCAGCAGTGACTGCTGCTGGAACATTGCCTTTTTATAAAGAATTCCTTTACTGCTGAAAGATAAATATTAAAATAACTTTCTTCCAGATGCATAAATAATTGTAATGTGATACCACCAATCCATTTGAATTTTTGATACAGCAAAACTTCACAAGAAATATTTATTTTCTTGATTATGATTGTCATTGACAAACCATTGATCGGATATAGGACACTCTGCTAATTCTAGAAATGTCATTTCCTGCCGTTGAGAGATCAGTTTCAGAAGTGCCATTAAAAGCCAGTGAAATGCTGGGGAATTTTAGATGACAGTGAGCAGAAAGCATGTTCTTGAAAGCAGTTATCTTTATAGAATACTCTGTCTCTTAATATAATTTAGATGCCCATCCAAGAAAAAGAAGCTTCGAAGAAAGAAGTCATTCTCCTGGCAAAGATGAAGCATCCCAACATTGTCACTTTCTTCAGTTCATTTCAAGGTTTGACTTTCTAGTATTCTTATTAAAGTATTTTAATAAAGTATAGGCATGTAGACGTCTATAAAAGGTATGTTCCTGAGAACTGTGCATAAACTAATTTTTGCAAATGAACTCATTTTCTCATTTACTTAAATTGTAATTTGAGACACCATCTTTATTTCTTCTCTAGGGAGTTTTTGTCGACAGCTTTCCTAAGTTTTCTTACGTTTTCCCGTCTCTCCTTAATTCTTATTCCCTCAAATAGTTCATGATTGGAGGGTTAGCTTTGCTGCAGTAACGACCCCTACAATAATACACATCTATTTCTCACTCACATTACATGTTGACTGTGGGTGGGTGAGGTCTTAAGTCTGTGATGTAGGCTGAAGGAGCAGCCCAGATATGCAGCATGCTGTTTTCGTGAGTGAGAGAAAAGAGCAAGACACAGAGCCCACCACACTGTCGCTCTCAGAGTTCTGCTAGGATGTGGCATGTTTCTCATGTTTCTTATGAGCTCGAGTTCCTGTTGCCAAAGCAGCCACTTGGCCAATCCTGATAACGGGGTGATGGAGGAGGTATACTCTGCCTGTGTGAGTCCTTGCATGTTCCCGGGTAACGGGTGGGGCTGTACAGTCCTCTTACAGAGAGGCAGCAAACAGCCACGCGCCATGGCCAAGCAAATGGCCAAAATAGAGGGGGAAATCTTTAAGGAAGCAATTCCCTTCCTCTCTACGCCTGAATACAACATCTCTTCTGTGTCCATCCGTCACTTGACTCCAAAGGTAAAAAAAATATGTGAAAGGAGCTTGGCTCGGAGACCATTCATTCACTTAACAAATATTTGTCAAGTGCTTACCAGCTGCCAGGCATTGTTCTAGGTACCAGGAATATGGCAGTGAACAAAACAGGCAAAAATTCCTGTCCTCATGGAGCTTACATTCTAGTGGGAGGAGACACACAATAAACACGTATACAGTATGTCAGGTGTTTATAAGGCTGTGACAGGGCTGTGTATGCCCATGGTTCTCCATGGAGCATCCCCCATCCCAGAACCCAGCATTGTGGGTGCTTGAATACACAGGTCATAAGTAGTTAATGGAGCGGGAATGTTACCTAGATATTTCCCAGCACCATCAGGGGTGTAAAAATCAGTAAATAAATAAACATAGCCACTATTTTTTGAGCTTTTACACTATGTTTCTTACCAATTAAAACCACTGCATTCAGGGCTGGCCTGGTGGCACAGCGGTTAAGTGCATGCACTCCGCTGCAGCGGCCTGGGGTTCAGATCCCAGGCGTACACCGACGCACCGCTTGTCAAGCCATGCTGTGGCAGAGTCCCATATAAAGTGGAGGAAGATGGGCACGATGTTAGCCCAGGGCCAGTCTTCCTCAGCCAAAAAAAAAAACAAAAAAAAAGGAGGAGGATTGGCAGATGTTAGCTCAGGGCTGATCTTCCTCACCAAAAAAAAAAACCCACTGCATTTAAAGTAACTCTCTGTGTATGGCCCTCTTTAACTACTAGGTATTGAAAGGAGCTCTCAGGACTCTTTGGAGGTCTTCCTGGGGGCTGAGCAGTCCACGGGAGCGGGGAGTTGATGGGGTAGCCACTGAATAAAGTGCCTACATTCCTCTTCACTGATTCCTAAGAATAATGCCTAAGATGACCGTTCTTTTCCTCATTCTTTGGGTTATTTGTGACTCCCTCTGTCTGCCTAACTCCTCATCCTCAGGCCTTCTCTGAGATCACAATTCAAATTATAACCCCCTTTACTGATCTTGCACAGCACTTTTGTACTTGTGTATTTGTCTATTTATACATATACAGTTATGAAATGATTTAATATTTGACTCCCTTTAAGATAGTAAACTTAATGAATTCTTTTGCTCACCACTTGATCCTCGGCATTTAGCATATACTAGGTCCTCAATACATAACTGCTGAGTAAGTGCACGGACTGGACCACCTTAATAGACTCAAGGGTGCCTTTACCCCATGCAAAATGGATATTTGAGGACAGTTGACACTAGATACCATTGTAAAATTAGAGGTCATTTTTACAGTGTAAATAACCTCCACTAAGTTTGTTTATGGTGTAAACTTAAACTTTCTTATGAAAGCCTTATTTATTTATTTTGTAAGTAGAACAGCCCTGTGTTTAGGAAAACTAGAGCTATTGTGATGCCTCCCAGTTTGCCTGGCAGATTGTTGGGAGTTGAAACACCAAGCTTATCTGAAAGCCTCAGGGGTCCTTGCAGCACCTGACTGTTGGAGAGTGTAGATGAAGCCTTTGTTTACCCTCACACAGCTTCTGTCTGAACAGAAGAACCATGGCTCTGGTTCATTAAATGTTTATCTATAGAAGGTATGACGTTTTTATAGGTTTGAAGCAACATACGAAAAATAAGGAGAATGTGAGATTTCCCTAAGACTAAATTAATTCCACTTAAATTCCTTCAATAAATATTTATCAAGTGCCTATTACATGCTAGGTATGTTCTAGGTCTTGGGGATATATCAGTGAACAAAATAGGCCAAAATCCCTGCACCATTGTTTTCTGTTGCTGCATCACAAATGACCACAAATTTAGTGGCGTAAACCATCACCGATTTATCATGTCCCAGTTTCTCTAGATCAGAAGCCTGGGCTTGGATTAGCTGGATTCTCTGCTCAGGGTGACACATAGTTGAAATGAAGATATCGCTTGATTGGGTCTGCTGTCTTATCTGAGGCTCATAGTTCTCTTCCAGCCTTATTCAGGTTGTTGGCAGAATTCATTTAATTGCAGTTGTAGGACTGAGGTGTCCACTTTCTTGCTAACTGTTAACTGGGGGTGGTTCTTGACTTCTAGAGGCTAACCTCCCTTCCCTGCTGTGTGGCCCCTTCAATAGGCCCTCTCCCACTTAGAATCTCTTACTTGCTCTTTCTCTGACCTCTAGACCCAGATTTAAATGGCTCCTGTGATTAAATCAAGGCCACCTGTATGATCTCCTTTTCTATCAACTCAAAGTTAGCTAATTAGTAACTTTAATTATATCAGCAAAATCTCCTTTGCTATGTAACATAACAATCATAGGAATGATAGCCCATCATATTTACGGGTTCAGCCCTCACTCAAGGGGAGGGAGTTTACAAGGTGTATGCACTAGGGCCATCCTGGAATTCTGCCTGCCATACAACTATGGAGTTTACACTCTAGGGAGAAAAAGTGGGGAGAGGCAGACAATAAATGTATACATAATTAATAAGTATGTTATATGGTATGTTACAAGGTGATAAGTGCTATGGGAAAATGAAATTGAGTGAGGCAGGAGTAGAGGGAACAACTTTAAATAGAGTGGTCAGATTGGCCTTATTCTGAAGGTGACATTTGAGCAAAGACTTGAAGACTCATGCTAATGTCTGAAGAAGAGCTTTCTAGGCAAGGAGAACAGCAAAGGCATGAGGCAAGAGCAGGCCTGATATGTTAAAGGACTAGTCAGAAGGCTTTTGGGAGAGGCAGTCTGCTATGGGCCCTGAGCATCTCTGCACATTTTTGCTGGGTATGCCAAGAATGCAAGTTCCTGAACCTCTGTCTACCTAGGCTATTTCTCTAGCTTCTGTTTGCAGCGAGCAGCTTTGAAGGATGAGGTAACATCTCTCCCAAGACAGAGAGCAGGCTTGTTTACTGCTCACCATAAAAGTGGTAGATTCCCCAAGCTCAGTGTTCCTCTCCTGTAATATAGCTCACTGTGTGTGCAGATGTCCATCTAGGCTCACCTGTTTTGCCTCCGTGGGATTTGGGGGACACAGAACTAGCACTAATGTGAAGCTCTGACTACTGCTTTTGCCAAGAGTAATAAAGTCCACTGACTCTGGCCCAGGAGTCTCATGTGTTCTGCCAGCATCCACAAAATAGTCACAGGCTTGTGAGTAGGGTAGAATCTCAGACCTGTCGCAGAGCCCTGCTAGAAGTCAGTGTGGGTAGAATGCAATGAGCAAGGGGAGATAGCAGAAGATATTTTTATTCTTCAGTCTGATTCTGTGTCCCTCCTAGATTTTTAGCTCTAAAATGCCTTTATTTTATGGAATGATGTGATAACGGATGATATCTCATTTTATCAAATCTAGATGCCGTTGAATGTAAGATGCACCATTATGTATAATTAAAAGGAAAAATGCTGCCAATTAGACTATGATACAATGCTTTATCACTTATAATTTTTATTCTATATGTATTAAAAGAGCTCTTTTAGACTTATTTAAACAGAGTTTCACTTTCTGTTACTCTTGTGCATACATAAAAAGGAAAATGTAAGCAAATTAAATTAGTTAAGGTATTCCAAAAGTTATGCAGGCAGTGATAACATCAAGACTGCTGGGCCTGTAGCAACCAATTGGAAGATGCCAATGTCTGTAAGATACAGTCCTGATTTTTAAAAAGTACATTTTAGAATGAATTAATTACAGTAATTGTCTTTTAAATGTTTGAATTTTCCAAATAAAAAGATTGTAACCCTGATGTTAGTGCCCTTCAATAGTTTGAAAGGTCAGTGACCCACGAGCTTTATAGTTCTAGAAACTACTGTCCTATGATGTGCCTTGCACTATCCTTTTCCTCCTTTCTGCATTCTCAAATATTATACGTGCTTTAAAACTAAACACAGATCCCACCCCCTAAACTTGAAGAGATCCCTGCTCTGCTCTGAGTACTTCCGGACTCTTGCTGACCTTATCCCTCGTGGCATTTATAATATGCTGTATTATAATGGTAGTGTATATTCTTTATTTCCCTCAATGAGATTGGAAGTTCTGTGAGGACTAGGATTGTTTCTTATACTTTTCCCCCTTTTATAGTGCTTAATTAATTTAATTAACTTATTTTTAAGAGTTTAGCTTTTTGTTGAACATGTTACAAGAGATTTAGTCAAAAAGACCAAAGCCCATGTCATCATCTGATTCCTCAGATTCTACTTTCTTTGCTTCCACTTCCTTCTCCTCATCTGGGCAGCAGTGGTGGAGGGGCAGGTCCACCAGCCCCCACGTTGCTGATGAGGCTGCCAGTGTTGACATTGGCCAGGGCCTTTGCAAACAAGCCAGGCCAGAAAGGCTCAACATTTGCACCAGCTGCTTTAATGAGGGCATTGATCTTATCCTCCCTGACCGTCACCTCATCATCGTGCAGGATGAGGGCCAAGTAGATGCAGGCGAGCTCCAGAGACGGCGGTCATGGTGTGGGCCAGTGCTGGGCGGGTGCTGCTGGGTGTGGTGCTAGTTGCCGGATGAAGTGAGGGCCTCACTCCGGTGTGGCCTTAGCTTCCTTGGAAAGACCCAGTGCCTTAGTGGCAGCTGAGGAAAGGGGAGTGCTTAATTTTTTTACACCGACAGAAAATTTGAGAGCATAAGTGATCTTTCCAAACAGTTCTAACCCCATTAAATATGAAATTCACTGTGGCTAGTGGAAAAAATATGCATATTTGGAGCTGAATGATGCTCATTGACCTGAATAGTTTCTTCAGGTTGGCTCAGCCATGATTAATCCGTGATTAATCCATGTTTAATCCAATGATTAAACACAGAAAGCCAGTGTAAGGCTGAGTGAGTTGGAGGTTGGTGGAAAGGAAGTGAAACGGAACCCTTTCTCCTTAGTTTCCTTATTCCGATTCTCCCATGGTTTTGAAATTGCCATTCCTTTGTTGCTGGGGCAGCACTTTCAATAACTGAGCTATGAGAAATATCGATTCTCCTAAAAGTAACACATTCCTGAAAATAACTGATGTCTAGATAATTAGGGTATGTCAGGAAACATCTTCTTAAAACCCTTCCTGGAGTCTCCAGTCTGACTTTCATTCAGTGTCTCTTGTTCTCTTTGCCCTTGAGTGTGCAGACTTCTGCTGTAGCTCTTCTCACATGTGTTCACTGACTCCTCAACTAGGCTGTCACCTCCTTAAAGGCAGGAAGAATGGCTTATTTGTTTTTTATTCTTAGGACAGCGTTCCTTAGCATGTCCCCAGTAAGTCTGTTGATACATGAATGGATCTCTCCCCTTTAAGAAGGGAGGTGGAGGGCTGGCCCCATGGCTTAGTGGTTAAGTGCGCGCACTCCGCTGCTGGCAGCCCGGGTTTGGATCCGGGCTCGCACTGACATACCGCTTCTCCGGCCATGCTCAGGCCGCGTCCCACATACAGCAACTAGAAGGATGTGCATCTACGACATACAACTATCTACTGGGGCTTTGGGGGAAAAAAAATAAATAAAATTTAAAAAAAAAAAAAAAAGAAGGGAGGTGGAAAAATTGAAGTGCTCTGTGAAAGAAGCACTCAGTTTGTGAATTAGAAGCAACCAAAGGCAGATGCTGTTAGGTGACTGATAACCCACTTTAAAGTTGGTTTAAGCTTGAAAGAGGGAGGTAGCAAATGATGGATATTTGGCAAGAGATTCTGCCATTTAGTGAATCCTTAATAACAACAGGGAAAGATACTAGAAGGATTAACAGTTGCTTATAAGCCTGGTTTGTGAGATTATTTTGTGTTCCTTAGATGTTTTTATGAAACCACTCAACAAACCTTTATTAAGGCTCTTCCATGTGCCAGCTACTGTGCTAGGTGCAGGGAATACAGAAGAACAAAGTGTGGCCTCTGTCTTCAGGGAACCCACAAACTAGTGGGAGAAACAAACAAGTTAGTAGAAGCCCTTTTTCTAACAAGAGCCCAGCTGGTAGTTGGTTAAGGAAGAAAGCTGGTTAAGCAGGAAATCATGCAAACATGTTTTAATTTATGAATGTACAATCATTTGCCAAAGTTTTTTTCTTTTTGGTGAGGAAGATCGGCCCTGAGCTAACATCAGTCGCCAATCTTCCTCTTTTTGCTGGAGGAAGATTGTCCCTGAGCCAACATCTGTGCCAGTCTTCCTCTACTTTGTATGTGGGTTTCTGCCACAGCATGGTTTGACAAGCGATGCAGGTCCACATCCAGGGTCCGAACCTGCAAACCCCAGGCCACCGAAGCGGAGCACACGAACTCAACTACTACACCACAAGGCTGGGCCCCATTTGCCAAACTTTTGATATAAGACCAAAATCTCATCTTTGATTATGAGTCTAACTGATTGGAATTCTGAATATTCTTTCTTACATAGGCTACTCCTCTCATTTATAATTTCCAATTTCCTTTCTTTAGAGTGGAGTAAGAATTTACAGGTACTCTGTGTACACAATCTTTTTAAAGCTTTACTGATTATTTTCCACTTGTTCGATCCAACATTCAGGTCAATGACTTTTTTTTAGCTACTCAGTTTTACCGAGTATTCAACATAGCTTTTGTAGAAATAATCACATCTTTCTTTTGCCATTCATATTTCATCAGTTTATGTAATACATGCAAAAACAAGTATAATTGGCATAAATAGATTTGGGAATGAACACAGTGATCTTGGTAAGAATCAGTGGGAACAGAGGTCCCAGGGCATCCTAGAGAGTCTAGTAGCCACCAGAGGTAACCTTGAGTGGCCAGCTGTAATCTAGTGAGTAGGTCAGGCAGAGGGCAGTTAGAAGAGGGTCTATTGTACTTAACAATATGGTTGAATAAGTGCCATATAAATAAAAGTTTATGCCCAACTTCAGGAAGGGTCTATTAATTCTTCCTGGGGTGTTGGGAAAGATTCACAGCTGCCATTTTACAGCAGATTGCTAATCTCTTGCAGGAATGTATTCATAATAATAGCTAACATTTACTGAATTCTCATTATGCACAGGCATCGTTCTGAGCATCTGACATGAATTAACTAATTTTATAACAATTCTAAGAGGAGTTTCTATATTATTATCTCCATTTTACAGATGAGGTAATGAGGCACAGAGAAATTAAAATAACTTGCCCAGAGTCACAGAGCTAAGAAATGTAAGTGGTGAAGTGGGATTAGAACCTAGTTCATCGGGCTGGCCCCGTGGCTTAGTGGTTAAGTGCGCGCGCTCCACTGCTGGCGGCCCAGGTTCGGATCCCAGGCGCGCACCGACGCACTGCTTGTCTGGCCATGTGAGGCCGCGTCCCACATACAGCAACTAGAAGGATGTGCAGCTATGACATACAACTATCTACTGGGGCTTTGGGGGAAAAAAATAAAATAAATAAAAATTAAAAAAAAAAAAGGAACCTAGTTCATCTTCATTCTACAGCCAGTTTTGAACTATATATAAATATACACATATATATATATACACGCTGCATTTTTCTGTTATATTCTCCACCTTCTAGACCTTGAAAGGCAAATGATTTGTAAATACCTGAAACTCTTCCAGTGCCCAATGATGCCTTTTCTTACAGAGAACAACAGGCTGTTTATTGTGATGGAGTATTGTGATGGAGGGGATCTTATGAAAAGGATCACTAGACAACGAGGAGTGTTATTTAGTGAGGATCAGGTAAAAACACTTCTAATTTGCCTTTTAATTCATTTGGGGAGGGTGGTTAAATTTATAATACCATAAGTAGTAGACTGTGTTTATATGAAGGATGATTTCTGGTAGAGAAATTCAAACTGTAAAATAGTAGATCAATATTCTTGATAGATTTAGTCCACAGCATGTTTGCAATTGAACTTAAATTGAATCTCTTTGAGAGTGAAGTTTGCTTGAGAAAAGATAGTGTCTTATTTTTGGACAATCTCATGTAGGATGCTTCTGAGATAAATCTTCATGGCTAAAAAAAATCTGAATGTAGATGTTCTTTAGCCATTTTAAATGTGACATATTTATAGCTTCACTCTTCTTCCTTTTACCATTTGATACTCTGTTTTAAAATAGCTATCCCACTTTGCTAGGGAGCACAGAAGCTCTTCTTAGCAATGGCTGTTTAGTTTCATTGGTTATTAAGAGAGAAGAGAGAAAAAGTGAAGAATAATGGTCTTAATTCCCATTTTCTCTTTGCACAAACACGTTTTTCTTCTGTACTCTGAGCTTCCTTTGGAACCCTCTTGGGAGCTGTACTCATGGAGGAGACAGGTGCGTGTGTGTGGAGAGGAATCTGAATTAGGACCTGTGTGATGGATGGGCAAGGCCACTGCCTCAAGCAGTGCCCAGGAATGGCCCGCCATCTTTCTTTAGGCCATTTGTTTATTTGTTGTATTTTAGCATTTAAGGACATCATGCCCATGTAATTTCCTCCCAGAGTTAAAATGGAATATTTTGCTGAGGAAGATTCACCCTAAGTTAACATCTGTTGCCAGTCTGTCTCTTTTTTTGTTGTTTAGGAAGATTAGCCCTGAGCTAAATCTGTGCCAGTCTTCCTCTGTTTTTTATGTGCTGAGTCACCAGCACAGAATGGCTGACGAGTGGTATAGGTCTGTGCCCAGGATCTGAACCCACAAACCCCGGGCTGCAGATGTGGAACATGCCAAACTTAACAACTAGGCCATGGGGCCAGCCCCTAAAATGGAATATTTTGAATGTATGAATGATTAAAGAATCAATATCTCTAACCTCTGTAAATTTAATTAAGCATTCTTCCTATGCTCATTTATATTATATATTAAATTCTATTATTTGTAGAAACCTTCGTTTCTTCCTATCTAGGTATTATTTTGCCACATTTAACAAAACTGCTTTTCCCTATAGAACTTTGAATTACATTTCCCTTTGTTGGGAAAGAACTAAAATTACAACTGAATCTTAGTATCTGGAATATAGCTTTTTTTCCTATTGTTTTCCTCTTTCTGTATAACTCAACTGACAAAGAACCAATGAAATTTTAGAATAGTTTAAATCTCTATAGGCTAGAACACATTTTAATAAAGACGCTCATGGCCAGCTAAGATAAGATAAAATCATGACTAAGAAATAACATTAAGCTTTAAAAAGTTTAAAAGTAAACTATTTGTTGCTATTTGTTGTTTTTATGTTATATACATATATGCTGATATTTCATTAAAATTTTTAATAACCTCACAGATTTTCCACTTCTTCCTCTTTCTTTCTCTGCCCTTGGTACCTTCCTTCCACTGAAAAGGAAAAACCAGTGGTACTAGGGTTATCAGGAAACAGGGCTGCTTGTCTGCTATTCTGACATAGTTAGCAACTAGGTGTTAAATAAGAAAAAAGTCATGAACTGCCTCCTGCTCTTCCTTGCTGTATCTTTTTCTATATGTGGAGTTCCCTTTGATACCAACAAGTCTGGATTGCCTTTCTGTGCCTCCATTTTTCTAGCTGTGAAAAGAAAAGAATATGATAAGATGGTCTAGCTGTGAGCTTTATTCATATAAATACACACACAAATATATTATTTCTCTCTTTGTGCATGTTAATGTGAAGGCATTTCAGTGGCCATCAGATTATTCATGAGTTGTGTCTTATGTTCCCTCTACAGATTCTGAGTTGGTTTGTACAGATTTCTCTAGGACTAAAACATATCCATGACAGGAAGATCTTACACAGGGACATAAAAGCACAGGTAACAGCTCAGAGAGAAGACAAAGACAGAGCTGATCTCTTATTTTCTGGAAATCTCTCAAACAATGTAGCATTTTCTCCATTTATAGAACATATTTCTTAGCAAGAATGGAATGGTTGCAAAGCTTGGGGACTTTGGTATAGCAAGAGTCCTGAACAAGTAAGTACTTTTAAAAATCATTTTTTTTCCTATTCAGAACAACCAAAATATGTATTTTTAGGTATCCTGAATTAAGAAGATATTAAAAGCTTGGTTTCCAAATAATTTTAGATAACTATGTATATAAATGCATTAAATCATTCAGATGGTACTTCGTCTGAGATTAAAATTCCTGAGATATATCTTGGCCTAATAGAGTGATGGTGGCAATGTTCTATAGTGTGATATAAGCTTATCAAATGAGGTGTAGCTGTAATACGCATAAAGCTAGTGAGAATTTAGTGAAACAGGCAAATTCACACATGCTGGGGCCAGTTTATGGGTACAACTGTTTTGAAAGACAATTTGGTGCTAATAAATACCAAGAAATTTTAAAATATTCTATTTCTGGGAATTTGTTTTAAGGGAATAATTTGAAATTTGAATTTTAAATGCCTAATAATTGGGAAATGGTTAAATTTAATAAAACTTGTCACAGCCATGTACCTGAATATTATATAGCCACTAACATTTATGATATTGAAGGCTTTTTGATAATGTGAGGAAATATTTGTTATATTAAGTAAAACAAATGGAATCCTGAATTTTAAATACACCATGATCACAGCTATTTGAAAAAAGTGCATGGGAAAAGACAGGAAGGATATATATCAGAATTTTAATAATTATTGTTTTGAGGTGGTAAGATTCTAGGTAATTCTTTTCTTCTTTATTCATTTTCAGATTTTCCAAATTTTAAATCATGAGATTGTATTACTTTGATCATTGGAAAGAGGGGACTCTTTCTACATTTGAAAGATTTTGTAATATAACAATGGTACCTCCTTGTGGAGTCCTTAAGCCATAAAAAAATTTTAACATGTAGATTTTGGGGAGATGAATTATAGGTTTAAAAATCAACTAATTTTATTACTCTCTTATCATTGTACAATATGTTTTGTTTTATTTTAGTATGTGCATGCATCAAATTTTGTTATCCATTTTTATACTTTGCATGCACTTTACATGTCCACGTCTTAAGCCTTTTCTTACTCTAGTAATAAACCATGTTATTTTATTATTATTTAATATAACTTTCTAGTTCCATGGAACTTGCTCGAACTTGTGTTGGAACACCTTACTACTTGTCTCCAGAGATCTGTCAGAATAAACCCTACAATAATAAAACGTGAGTTGTTGACTATCAGTTTGAAAGCCTCAGTAAAATCTGATGGATTCTCTTTCTTTTGGTACTTTTGTAATTTCATTTTCTTCATGTGTGATATGGGGAATCCCAGTGACTGTTTCTGACCACTTCAGTGTTCCCTGAAGCTTTTGAATTTATTTAGAAGAAAGTCATAACTCTTCGTTTAAAGATACAAGTGATAGGAAGAATAATGTTGAAAATGGCAGTCACTGCGACTCTATCTCTGTATTTGACTTTCATACCTTCTATGCACTGTTTAGTCTGTTGCAGGAAAGTGTTGTAGCTGGGTCAGGTGGAAGGCAGTGTGATCTGGTGACCGAGCACTGGATTAGGAGCTAGGAATCCTTGTCTTGGCTCTGTCACCAGCTTGACCAAGTCAGTTGACTTCCATGGACCTCAGTTCCCCTACCTATAACAGAGTGTTGGTTAGGTAATCATTAAGGTGTCTTTTCCAGCTTTAAAACCCAACTAGTGGGGGCCAGCCCTGTGGCTTCGCAGTTAAGTGCACACGCTCCACTGCTGGCGGCCTGGGTTCGGATCCCGGGTGTGCACTGACGCACCGCTTCTCCGGCCATCTTGAGGCGGCGTCCCACATACAGCAACTAGAAGGATGTGCAACTATGACATACAATTGTCTGCTGGGGCTTTGGGGAGAAACAGGGGAAAAAAAAAAAAACCAACTAGTTTTTATGTGTGTGCTACCAGAGCCTAGTTCTCAGGAGTAATATTAATATACACAGTGATAAAAGGTGAAGATGAAGTAGTTTTTACTTCCATGTAAGGAGAAGGAAAGAAATTTCATTTTTCAACGCTGGCTGCCATTTGAAGCAGTTGGCCTAGAAGGAAGACTGAGTTCCTTTTGGGAGTCAGTTGTCCATTTGTTTAGGAAAATACCCGAGGGATGTTTGACTGTTTACCTTTGAGAGAGATAAATGGAAGACGAAGTCCAGGTGGTAGAGATTTACAAAAAGAAGAATAAGCATTTCTCTGCATAATAAAAGAACAGGCATTTTTTGCATATGTCCTCTGGCACTGGGAAGGGGTTTGCCCTCCAGGTGAGCAGGAATGCGGCTGGTGTAGCGCTGTGTGGAAGGGCAGGCTGCCCACAGCAGAGCTTAGTGCTGCTGAGAGCTCTGGTCAGCAGCATTGTTTTGTTTCCTTGTACTGCTTTTTGAGAATTTGGGTCAAGATTTAAATATGCTGATTTGGTGCTTCAGATAATTGGAAGATCTTAGCAATAATCAGCTGAGTAGCTGCTGCCCTCTTTAGACCAGGAAACCGTCCCTGGTTCACCACAGTCCTCACCACGTGCAGGTTGCTGTAAGACATGCAGATGTTCCCACTCAGCCCCAGGCGGCTTCATTCCCTGACAGGACCCCTGTAGGCAATATGAGTTCACCATACTGGCTACAGAGGGCACTCTGGGACGGAGGAGGAGTCTGGGCCTATGGAAGACAAAATTCTGTGTGGTGGTGGGACGTGGTCAGTGAGTTGCTAGAAAGTCTAGAAAAACTCTAGAAACCAGTTGGAAGTTGTTTCCTACCTATTCTGTAATCGCCCTTCATTGTACTTAAACCTTGAGTAAGTCTCTTTCTGCTCCTCCTGTGCACACACTCAAAGGAAATGTTACTGAAGAGTGGAGCCATTTACCTCACCTTACTGAATCCTTGTTTGACTCTTTGACCTCCTTCTTACCTCCTTGACTTCTCGTTGTATTTTCTTTGGTCTTTTAGATTTAATTATCCTTTTTGTTCTATAAGGTAACTCTTTATTAAACCAATCACATATAAATACTAAGTACTAAGTACTAAAGAGCAAGTTTCTAGTCATATACTGTAAGCACATTTTTCAAGTTTATTGATTTCCAAATACTATGTTCATCGCTTAATATAGCTTTGGTTCTGTCAGTAGCCTTGAGTAGAATATACCTTTCTAAATCAACCAAATTTTACCTTTTGAATCAAAACAAATCCATGTTTGAGTCCTACCTCTCTCCTCCAAATAACTCAAAATACTATACATGCACACATTTTCTTTGAACACATGAAGTTGAAGTAAACACTGAGCCCTCTGATTGTAGCAAAGTTTGTGTGCCTTTTCTCTGCTAGGATTCTGACAGACTATAAATTATTTTTATCTTACTTCTTATCTTAGAATAAAAATTGATAATGTATCTGAAGGCATTTGTAAAAACTGGTCAACCTAAATAGAATTGTAAAGATATACAATTAAAAGGCACTGTAAGGATAAAGGCTTTTATTGAGAATTATGGATGTTTCTTGTCATGTAAACTCTTATCTTCCCCAGGGATATTTGGTCTCTTGGCTGTGTCTTATATGAGCTCTGCACACTCAGGCATCCTGTAAGTATGTTAATTGTCAGATTAATCTTGAATTATTGAAACTATATAAATGAAATTAACTTCTGAGAGAAAAAGGTTAATGTTTGGTTTTATTAGATTGTTAAAAATTATATGGTGGCCGGCCCGGTGGCACAGGTGGTTAAGTGCCCGCGCTCCGCTGCGGCGGCCCAGGGTTCGCCTGTTCGGATCCCGGGTGCGCACTGACGCACTGCTTGTCAAGCCATGCTGTGGCGGCGTCCCATATAAAGTAGAGGAAGATGGGCGTGGATGTTAGCCCAGGCCCAGTCTTCCTCAGCAAAAAAAGAGGAGGATTGGCAGATGTTAGTGCAGGGCTGATCTCCTCACACACACACACACACACAAAATATATATATATATATATATACGGAAAAGCTATTAAGAAGAATGATAGATTTCTATATATTGACATGTAAAGATGCACAAGCTATATTATAAAGTAAAAAATCCAAGTTGGAGAATAGTATTAGGAATATAGCATATTTCCATTAAAAATAAATTGCGTGTGAATATACATAATCAGCAAAGGGAAAAGGTACATGGAGCGAAATCTATAGGAAACCAGGCATAAGCTTCCAAGAGCCTCTCCCAGTAGAGTCACACAGGATGCACTAATTCCTCCAGCAACAAGTTGTGACAACACGTGTGAAATGTTTCTACGGGGGGAAGCTCATTAGAAACCCAGAGCCCAAGGTTTTTACTAGGGACTAGTCATATAGACACCCTCTGCCTGGCATATACCAGGCTTCCCGACTCCCAGGAAGAATGCAGTTGTTCAGCATAAACCATATTGTTGGTGCAAAGAGTGTAGGCAAAGAGAGCCACTCTGAACATTTAGGGAATGGTGGGAACTCTCCTGAAATCTAAGTTTCCAGATGCCAGCCAATGGCCAATATTGTAAGCAGGCCTTTCTAAGGATGGCAGTCTTAGGCCTGCTGTGTTAACTCTTTTCTACAGAGTTGTCATCATCATCATCATCATCATCATTATTGTCAAAGGTCACAAGGCTAGTAAGTGTCTGACCCAAACCTGATCTTTCCTGCCACACCGTGCTGCTGAACATTATTTATTGTTATGTGTAAACAACTAATGGTTTCCTACAATGGAAGATTTTCTGGTTTATGAAGAATTTTTGAGGAATTATTTATGTCATGTTAATTAAAAAAGAAAAATGTAAAATTTCATATCATTATGACCTCAACTCTGTAAAGTAAACATTATTTTTAAAACGACTAGAAGGAAATATGCCTCTGGGTGGTGAAATTATTTGTATTTTTCCTGACTGTGTAACTTTCAGTTTTTTACAATGAGTAAATATTATTTTGATAATAAGAAAAAATTAAAACTAAAATAAACTTGTTTTAAATAAAATGGCATCTTGTTGAGTAACTGCAGCAATATCTACTCATAAAATATTAGTTGATGAAAAAAATGTAGGATGGACCATAGTGCTTCTAACTGAAGCTTAAAAACATTGTGTTGTTGTTAACATCTATCTACTTTATTTTTTCTTATTGCCACCTGTAGCTAATTTTTTTTTTCTGGTTTATTGTGGTATAATTGACAAAATCGTAAGCTATTAAAAAAAACAAAAACAAAAAACAAAAAACATTGTGTTGCTTCTTGATGTTACTTTAAATACTAGTATTGAATTTTCCTCTGATTTAGTATCATCATTCCTTGTCCTTTCAGTTTGAGGGTCGCAACTTACACCAGCTGGTTCTGAAGATTTGTCAAGCACATTTTGCCCCAATATCTCCACGGTTTTCCCGTGACCTACGGACCTTGATATCTCAGCTCTTTAAAGTGTCTCCCCGAGATCGGCCATCTATTAATTCCATTTTGAAAAGACCCTTTTTAGAGAATCTTATTTCCAAATACTTGGCTCCTGAGGTGAGTTTTGCAGTGATTCTATTTGGATTTTGACAGATTTTGGTTAGCAGGTCCTTGACACATGTGTTTGATTTTAGGTCATTCGGGAAGAATTTAATCACACACTCATACATAGAGAAAAGTTGTCAGCTTCTCGACCTGCTGCGAAGATGGTCCAGGGTAAGAGTGATTTAGCCTTGCAATCAAAAAACATTTATTACATGTGTCTCACACAGTGAGTTATAATATATGGCTGACAATATTAGTGGAGAAATTCCACCAAATATATTGAACATGGACATTTAAGAAATATGAGCAGTATAAACAGGAGAAAAATCATCTTGTCCCGTGGTGACTAGTGGGTGTGCCTGTAAATCTAGCTCAGGTATGACCTGCAGAATTTATCTCCTCTCTTCTCATTAGTCATGAAAACTTCATGAAGCAGTGAATTTGCTAATAAAGAGATGCTTGAAGAGGTAGCATCCAGGGGCTGGCCCGATGGTGTAGTGGTTAAGTTCATGCGCAGTACTTAGGTGGCCCAGGGTTCACAGGTTTGGATCCCAGGCACGGAGCTATGAACCGCTCATCAAGCCATGCTGTGGCTGCGTCCCATATACAAAACAGAGGAAGATTGGCACAGATGTTAGCTCTTGGCAGTGGATATTGGTTCAAGGCTGATCGTCCTCACCAAAAAAAAAAAGGTAGCATCCAAACAACTTTTGTGTAGGGAAGGGATGGAGAGTAAGACAAGGTTCACAGACAGACACGGGATGATGAGATGAAGCTTGTATGTATATATTTTTTTAATTTTATTTATTTATTTTTTTCCCCCCAAAGCCCCAGTAGATAGTTGTATGTCATAGCTGCACATCCTTCTAGTTGCTGTACGTGGGACGCGGCCTCAGCATGGCAGGAGAAGCGGTGCGTTGGTGCGCGCCTGGGATCCGAACCCGGGCCGCCAGCAGCGGCGTGTGCGCACTTAACCGCTAAGCCACAGGGCCGGCCCTGAAGCTTATATTTTTGAAATAGAAAAGATGGACTGGCAATTAAGAATTCCCTTGCAAAGGCCCATTGGAGCTGAAGTTAGGATCTTGGACCTAATCACTAACAATGGGAGAACCGTTACTATGTGACCCCAAAGAAAGCAGGTGATTCTTTATGGTAATGATAAATAGAGAAACAGTTTTAGTGGTGGTTGTCAGGAATCAGCTGATGAAGTGCTGTGTGTGTGTGTGTGTGTGTGTGTGTGTGTGAGAGAGAGAGAGAGACAGACAGACATTAAAGAAGACAAAATTAGTAATTCAACTGATATGAAATAAGAGCTGCAGGATTTAGCCATAACCAAATGTCTGAACTTGAAGGATGAGGAGGAGTAGAAAATCTCTCCAGGAATCAGTGATAGGGAAATGTTACCCACTGTGAGAGAGAAACTAAAATTGAGGAAAGTTATGAAGGAAAAACGAATGAGGAGCCTCTCTGCCATGTTGAATATATTTTGGCATTGTTATATATTGGTCTGGATTGAGAATCTTTAGAACGTAGATGAGTAGAAGATGAGAGAAAGTGCCTTGTCCACATTTCTGATATAGGAAAGATAGGAAAACAAGAACACACTTTGATGGCAACAGAGACAAACATATTAGAAGACCTACTCATACATTTCACACAACAGTGTGGTGTGAATGGTGTGGCCTGATAACCCATGCTCTGATGACTACATTTAATTGCTTGTGCCATTATCCTATGCATATTGTTTCTGTAAATGTTAACAGTAATTCCTAAATTTTTTTAAAAAGTAGTATTATAGGGCTGGCCCCGTGGCTTAGTGGTTGGGTGCGTGCGCTCCGCTGCTGGCGGCCCGGGTTCAGATCCCAGGTGCGCACCGGCGCACTGCTTCTCCGGCCATGCTGAGGCCACGTCCCACATACAGCAACTAGAAGGATGTGCAACTATGACATACAACTATCTACTGGGGCTTTGGGGGAAAAATAAATAAATACAATTATGAAAAAAAAAAAGTAGTATTATATATTGCTAGAAATATGTAAAGGAACTCTGGAAAAAATGGTTTTCCCCAATGATTTTCTCAAAGAAAATGCATAGTAATTTTTCATCAGCACTTCTCTTACTGGGTACGGATGTCTCTGGCTAAAGGAAACTTACTGTGCTATGAAATGTCCCTTATGTTTATACTCTCACAAGCATCAATATTAAAGGTGTGGAAATTTTTAAAAATTGAAGTTGTTTTATTTTGGTTACATAAGATTCTAAAATACAGAAAGTGAGATTCCAGGGAAGGTGCTCACCAAGATCTAGGATATCGGTGCCAAGTAAAATGAAGGATGTATTACATAGAAATGAATGGAGACCACCAGCTGGAGCCCAGAAGCCCATACCTGTAAGTCTAACTAAACCCTTCCTCTGGTTTTTTAGCCAATGATACATTCTACAGACCTACTTGCACATGTTCGTGGGTACAAGCTCATTACTTTGGAGTCTACTAGTTTGGTACTTATAATAAAATTATTCTGTAATGAGCATTAAAGTGGTACTTCATTGGACAACTTCTAGGTGTTGTATTTTTTAAAACAATGCTGTATTTTCTTAAAAGTATTCTATATATTAGTTTTAGTTTTCTTTTTATAACTCAAATTCTTCTAATTTCTTAAAGTTTTTCTTTATAGGACAAGTAAGTAGCATGGTGGCAGAAAACATTATGCATTTCATACTCTTGTGACGTGTTATATGTAATTGAGAAAGTTTTATTATATAATCATTGATCTTTTCCTAGAGATTCTTTATACTTAGTTATTTGAATCCACTTTAGCAGTGTTGAATCTTTTAGCTCATGCTAGTGAAATGCTTCTTGTATATAAATGATGAAATACTATTGTCTTTTAATTGAAGAATTGTATTTTTAAAGAAGGCTCATGGTATAATTAGAGGGCCATTTGGAAGTACATTTACTAAGTGTTTACTTGAAATATAGACATGTTAGAAAACTGTGTTGGTGTGCAGATAGATTCTTGAAACTATTGGTTAAATTATTACCCTGCATTTGATAGAATGTGGTTTAACTTTATTAAAGAAATTTAAAAAGTATGTTGTGATGTAGGATACTCTTTAGCAGACATATAGGACAGAAGCAACATCTAAAAGATTTCAGGATGGATTAAGTTAGGAGAACAAATTTTATGTTTCTAATCCTTTGAAGGCTTCTGCTAATGCATGGAAATGAATGGGTCTGAACAGGAACCACCTCTGATGTTCTCATTACCGTTTGAGATTTTAGAGGAAATCCTAAAGAAGCTGTTGATTTCCTTCCAATACTTTTTTCTGTTTCTAACCATTTTTCAAAAAGTAATTAGTGGTGGGGCCAGCCCGGTGGCACAGCAGTTAAGTGTGCACGCTCCGCTTTGGTGGCCCGGGGTTCGCAGGTTCTGATCCTGGTCGCACACCAACGCACCACTTGTCAAGCCGTGCTGTGGTGGCGTCCCATATAAAGTAGAGGAAGATGGGTACAGGTGTTAGCCCAGGGCCAATCTTCCTCAGCAAAAAAGAGAAGGATTGGCATTGGATGTTAGCTCAAGGCTAATCTTCCTCACCAAAAAAAAAAAAAAAAAGTAATTAGTGGTACCTTCTTTTATGTTGTATATAGGTAAAATTGTAAAACTAAGAAAACTACTTCAGGGCCGGCCCCCTGGCTTAGCGGTTAAGTCGCGTGCTCTGCTGCTGGTGCCCCGGGTTCAGATCCTGGGTACGCACTGACGCACCGCTTCTCCGGCCATGCTGAGGCTGCGTCCCACATACAGCAACTAGAAGGATGTGCATCTATGACATACAGCTATCTAATGGGGCTTTGGGGGAAAAAATAAAAAAATGAAATAAAAAAAAAAACTACTTCACACTTTAAAAGATGAAAAAAATAAATATATAATTTATGTTTAGACTAATAAACCAAATTTTATACGTTTACTTTAATATTTAAATAGAACTATATGAAAGTACCATTTTTGTAAGTTAAAGATGGTCAAATATCTACAATTCCATATGGCTCCATCTAACATGTATATGAACCACATAGCCTGAAAAGAACAAAGAATATAGCATGTTATTTCTTAACAGTGGGGAAATTTCTGTTCTAACCATTTGTTTGGTTATTCATATGTCAGACTACCAGTTCTAGGTCTTTCCAATGTTGTGACCTTCATTTTCTCTCGTTATCAACTGTAAGTAGGCAGCGTTGTCATGGATTAATGTTAAATTGACCCCACTTTGCTATTTTGCAACAGAGTCTTGCCTGGTTTTCATGTTAATTTGGTCTGATTCTTGTCTTCTGGCCCAGTGGACTACTACTTAACTCCAAGATAAACATTTGTTTCTGGTTCTCCTCCTCTCATTCTGTTCTGGTTGGCAAGGGTAGCTAGTGAGACGTAGCCTGGGATGGTAATATGCCTGTCACAGCTGTTACCTGACTTTCCTTGTGCTTCCTCGTGAAGAATGACTCTAAATGACTCAGATCTTCTTTTCTTCAAGTCATGATGCCATTTTGTGTTTAGTCAGTTTATCAGAACCTAAAAATGTTGCAAATCCCCAAATTTGTGAGTTTCACATTATTTATTCTCCCATAAAATACAGTAAATAAGTTTATGAAAAATAGAAAACAATAATACTGAATTTATTTATTTATTTATTTATTTTTTTTGTGAGGAAGGTCAGCCCTGAGCTAACATCCATGCTAATCCTCCTCTTTTTGCTGAGGAAGACCAGCTCTGAGCTAATATCTATTTTCAATCATCCTCCTTTTTTTTCCCCAATGCCCCAGTAGATAGTTGTATGTCGTAGTTGCACATCCTTCTAGTTGCTGTATGTGGGAGGCGGCCTCAGCATGGCCGGAGAAGTGGTGCGTCGGTGCGCGCCCAGGATCCGAACCCAGGCCGCCAGTAGCGGAGCGCGTGCACTTAACTGCTAAGCCACGGGGCCGGCCCCAACAATATTGAATTTAGTTTCAGATCTTGGGTTGGCTAGGAATCCTCACTAACCAAGTACTTTTGACACACTAGCCATGAATTCATAGCCACACCTTAGCATAATTATAAACTACTGTACTATAGTACTTAGACTTCTAAGATCTTTTTCAATTCTAGGATTTGGGGAGTTGAAGATTATTTTACTCTGAAAACAAGTCTAGAGCAAAAACAAAAATATACCTTTAATGTCTCATCTTAGCTATGGTCACTATCAAACTGTCAATTACTATAGATTTGTATTATGTATTTTTAAAAATCTTCTCTCTTCTTTTTAATCCCTCAGATAAAAATGGTAGAAAGGCCCAAACTTGCTGCAGTATGTGGACATTATGATTACTATTATGCTCAACTTGACTTGTTGAGGAAGAGAGCCCACGAACCAAGTTACCACCATGTTACTCAAAACGATACTGGAGTTGAGGAGGATTATAGTCAGGAAGAAAGTTACAGCCCATCACCAGGTCAATGGTAATGTCACAGTCTAACTTAAGCTTTGGTCCTCTGAAAATATCTTCATATATCAATATTCTTTATTCTGAAATCCTTGCAAATTCTCCTAAAACAAATAATCCAGGAAGAACTCACAAACTTCATTTTAAATACTTGATTCACAGTTCCCATGACCCTTTTTCAGCTCAAGTCTGATGTAGCTCATCTTCTTTTTTTTTTTTTCAATTAATTAATTAATTTTTTGTGAGGCAGATGAGCCCTGAGGTAACATCCGATGTTGATCCTCCTCTTTTTTGCTGAGGAAGATTGGCCCTGAGCTTACATCCGTGCCCATCTTTCTCTACTTTATATGGGACGCTGCCACAGCATGGTGTGACAAGTGGTGCGTCAGTGCATGCCCGGGATCCAAACCCGCAAACCCCAGGCCGCCGAAGCGGAGCATGCGCACTTAACTGCTTGCAGGCCGGCCCCTAGCTCATTTTCTTTCTTTCTTTCTTTTTTTTTTTTTGTGAGGAAGATCAGCCCTGAGCTAACATCCGTGTTAATCCTCCTCTTTTTGCTGAGGAAGACCGGCTCTGAGCTAACATCTATTGCCAATCCTCCTCCTTTTTTACTTCTCCAAATCCCCAGTAGATAGTTGTATGTCATAGTTGCACATCCTTCTAGTTGCTGTATGTGGGACGTGGCCTCAGCATGGCCGGAGAAGCGGTGTGTCAGTGCGCGCCCAGGATCTGAACCCGGGCTGCCAGTAGCGGAGTGCGCGCACTTAACCAGTGCGGGCCAGCCCCACAGATTCATACTCTTGAATTTTTAATATTGGTTCTTCTAGTAAATTCCACTGTCTGGGACTAATGAAAATAGTTGTTTATGTATCACTTTCCAAAGAGGCTATTAATATTAATCAGTACTAATTGAATCACAATTAAATTATCATTTGAGACATATCAAAAAGTAACATATATTTCATTCAGCATTTATATTGTTGGGAGTTTTCAGAATACAGATGTATTAGAAAGAAAATAATATACTTAAACTGCTCTTATGGCAGACTTGCAAGAAGTTTACTCCATAACAAACTTCTGCAGATCTATAATATTTTCCATTGTTTTTTTCACATCGATGTCAGGATTCCTGTGTCCAGAATAATTGACACCCATCCACAGGCCTGAAGACCTAAGGCTGAGAGACGTTTAAAAAAAAGGTTTTTACCGTAACATTTTTCTTTCAGGGTTGGGAATTTGCTAACTTTTGACTGTGGTTATTGTTGAAATTTTGGACAAATAATGAAAAATACGAGGGGCTGTGATGGTGATCTCAGATAGCTAATGAAAATTAGATAAGCAGGAGTGGTAAAGGATGAATTCTTCAGAAATGTATGATGGGAAAAGTAGACGTATTTTTAAAGATACTGGGTGCCATTATGGTTTTATCCATCTTCATAACACATTTTTAATTACCTCCATTGTCATTAAAAGTTATGTGTTCCATTAGTTCAAATTGTAATATTCATATAGGACTCAACTAATGAGTGACATATATTTTTCATATGAACTAAGTACAGCCGTTAAACTCCCTTTCCCTTTTCTCAGCCATGGGGAACAAGTGTCTTCCACTCTTTGTCTAGATATGAGAGCTGTCAAACTATCAATTATTTTGATTATATATGATTTTATCTCCCAAACTCTCACTTAAAATGGTAGAAAGTTCTTTCTTTTGTCTGTATGCTGCTGCCCATCATAGGCCCCATCCTACTGTATCCCAGGATGCCACTCTGATGACTGGTAACCCCCTTCTCATTGTTATACTTTTCTCTCTATCAGAACTCCAATTCCATGGGAACAAGTCTTGATATACTTGTCTGGAGGAAGAGGAATCTGTATATATGTGTATATATATATAGAGAGAGAGAGAGATCGGGGATGAGAGAGAGAGAGAGAGAGAGAGAATCTTTTGGACAACCGCTGGGAGCCTGAATAGTTTTTCTCATGGAGATATTGTTACACATGCCAGTTAGGTTTCTGAGAGAGATGAGTGCTACACCTTGGCCCTCATTTGACACGATATCTGTGTGTCAGACACTGGCTGGGCACCTGCACAGACCTAATCTCTTCTAATCCTCATATCAACCCCTGTGAGATGATATTGGGCTTATTTTACAGATGAGGAACTAAGGCCCAGAGACCTTAACTAGCTTGTTGTTTCATCATATTTCTAAGTGACTGACTTATTAACTTGACTCTTCATAACCTGGAGCCTGCTCATCATGATGCTCCAAGAGGAGTTATTCCTGAAATGATTGTTCTGGCTTTGGAGCCCTAGATGTTATTGGTATTCCAAAAAACTTTACCACATAATTCATACTATGATCTGAAATGTGGTAGTTTTTATTTAGCAATCTGTAATTACAGAAATTCTTTGCAGGAAATTCTGAGAAAAAGATAGACATATAGAACATAGGTATAAACCTGAAAACAGTTTGACCAGAATTGTGCTGGAAAAATATCTTAAGCATTGCATGAGACAGTTGAGTCCTCATCTCTTTATTCATGAAGCATTCCTGTGCCAGCATGAGGAGTAGAGGTAAGGGGATGGGGCACCGTCCTGCTGTCAAGGAGCTTGGTGAGTAGTGCAGGAAACAGACATGCAGCCGTCAGTCCCATCGGGGTGACAGGGCTGTGGGTGAGATACCTGCACAAAGCCTGAGAAGATCCTGGTGTGAAATTGTCTTTTCCCTCCAACATATCATGGACTATGGATTAACGGATTTCTGCCCTGAAGAAAAATCACTAGATCAGAACATTTTTCTGTTTTATCCTCACCTGTATCCCCAGTTGTTACTGTTCTCTTTACCTCCCTTTCCTCTTGATTCCAAAGATTTTCTTTTCCAATGTAAACCTTCTGTAACTTTGAATTACTTCTTGAAGTCAGAACCTCAAGCTACAAGTGAAATGTGAATCTCATTGCTAAGCTGAAAATCCGCTTGTCAAATCAGTACCTAAGACTAGTCAAAATTTCTACTCAAGCGGAACATTGTTATCTCCTAAGGCCTGCTGAATATCTTCAGAGGAAATTTGAAGCTCAACAATATAAATTGAAAGTGGAAAAGCAGTTGGTAAGTAAAATACCAAATATGAGAGGCAATCGGGAAATTCCTACTAGTTTCTCTGTTCACAGATATTCACGAATGCTTAAGTCAAAGTTCATTCCACATAAAAGATTGACTACCCTCCTCTTCCCTAATTTTTAATAGCTAAGGCAGAATAATGGGAATAGACCCTCAAATCAGGGTCTGGGAAGCCTGGTTTCTTCCCTGATGCTGTCACTTCCTGTGTGACCTTACGCAGGTCATGCAACCTCTCTGAGCTTCAATTTCCGTTTCTATAAATGACAGTTTTGGGGTAGATGAGCTTCAAGTTCCCCTTCAGTGTTGCAGTTCTTTGATTCTATTTTATTAAAATTCTACACATTTTTAAAAAGTGACTATTTTATATGAAATGAAAGTTAATCTTTACCATTAAGTATAGTGTCAAAATTCTGGGGCTGAGTGAGGCTGGATATGCATCCCGTTTGTATCACTCTTATTTTGAACCGCTCAATAGCTCTAGTTCAATTCCCCTATCTAATTGCATGATCCAGGGGGTTGCTAAACTTTTACAGAGCTTTAATTTCATAATTATAATACACCAGTTCAGAAAATGAATCTAGGGGCCGGCCTGGTGGCGCAAGCGGTTAAGTGTGCGTGCTCTGCTTCAGTGGCCCGGGGTTCGCCGGTTCGGATCCCAGGCGCACACCCACGAACCGCTTGTCAAGCCATGCTGTGGCGGCGTCCCATATAAAGTGGAGGAAGATGGGCACGGATGTTAGCCCAGGGCCAGTCTTCCTCAGCAAAAAACGAGGAAGATTGGCAGATGTTAGCACAAGGCTGATCTCCTCACAAAAAAAAAAAAAAAAGAAAAAGAAAATGAATCTAGGTGTCTCATATGGTAGCATAAAATTGATTGCTTAGGATAAACAACACAAATGGTTGTATGAATTTTCTTTAATTTTTTAATATTTCATCCTTAAATTAAAAAATTCTACAGCTCACTCTAAAAAACTCCCGAATACTGAGTTTGATTGGTGATATAATTCTTGTTTAAAGGAGAAGGTCAAGGTCATATCAGATGATGTTTCCAAAATGCAAGTATGCTTTATAATTATTTCATTCAAATAATAGGGCCTTCGTCCATCTTCTGCTGAGCCAAATCACAACCAGAGACAGAGGCTAAGAAGTAATGGAGAAGAGCCCAGATTCCAGGAGCTGCAGTGCAGGAGAAATGAAATGAAGGAACAGGTTAAAAGCAGTCTGATCCCAGGGCTACCATTGTATTAATATCATTGTCTATGTACCATAATAGGGGGTTACTCTTAGTGTCTACAGTGCGCCTGAGAGCCTGTTGCACAGACACTTGTTGGACACACTCTCATGAAGCACCATCCTGGGGTTTAGGGGATATAGAGATAGGTATTTCACCTTCTCAGAGAATGCAACATTGCCATGTTCATAAGGTTTTTCACCTTAGATTGATAAGGTCACTGTCCATCATCAACATTGTTGAAATTTTTATTAGTTTCATAGGGCTGCCTTAACAAAATAAAACAACAAATTTATTGTCGTGATCACAGTTCTGGAGGCTGGAAGTCCAAAATCAAGGTGTTGGCAGGGCCACGCTCCCTCAGAAACCTATAGGAGAACCTTTGCCTCCTCTTAGCTTTGGTGGTTTGTCAGCAGTCTTTGGCATTTCTTAGCTTGCAGCTGCGTCACTCCGTTCTCTGCCATCGTCACATGACATTCTCCCCATGTGTCTGTCTTCACCTGGCCATCTTCTTAAAAGGACACCAGTCATATTGGATTAGGGGCTCACCTACTCTAGTGTGACCTCATCTTAGCTTAAATAATGACATCTGCAGTGACCCTATCTCCAAATAAGGTCACATTCTGAGATATTGGGGGTTAGGACTCCAACAGATCCTTTTTGGGAGAACAAAATCCACAACAGGATTGTATATAGAAGTGGGATATATAAAGTAATTGTACATCATTAATGCATTTGCGGTTATTTATAAAAGTGAGATCACCCCAAGCCACCGTATTGCTTGCAGGGAATGAAGTATCACAGCCAAACTGTAAGGCAGATCATTATCCCGAGGAGTGATGGGTTTTCTAATTCTTATTACATGTTACATGTTTTTAAAATCATAGGCTGTATAGAGACTATTTTTGTTAAGTTGTTCACAAATATTAAAATTTTTGTACTGGGATTGCTTTCCAGGAATATTGGAAGCAGTTAGAGGAAATACGCCAGCAGTACCACAATGACATGAAGGAAATTAGAAAGAAGATGGGGGGTGAACTGGAGGTAAATAGATTCATTCTCCTAAACGGAACGTTGTTCTATTGATTTAGAGCTAACTAAATTGAGCAGACATTAAAAGTAATGATCTCCTCGTAGGAAAGAAAATTTTGTCAGGCAAACTTTTTTTTTTTAATAGGAAAGCTGTCAGATCTAATTGAAACTTCGCTTTCTTATGGTTTACTTGAGACTACACAAGATGTTGAGGATATCTGGGATTCTCAGTTAGGAATGGCTGTTATTAAAAATACTTGTTGATTGTCTTCCTCACGAATCAGTCAATAAGTATTGATTGAGTAGCTGCTAGATTACATGCAGATAATAAGTTCATGCCCATAAGGTAGGAAAAAGGACTAGCATTTATTGACTCCAACTGTATTGGAATAGTCTCATATGCAGGAGTAAGGTTCTAAAGTCTATATAAGGCAACATTTGAGTGCAGTTGAGATGATTCTTAAAAATCTCTTAAAGGTGCCACACTGGAAACTCATTCTTCCTTCTCTCAGATCACTGCTTTTTCAGTAGAGCTCCAGATGAAATATAGCTGGCCTGTGTTTGGAGACCATGTTATATGAAAAACACGTGGATATTTAAACACTAGAAACACCCTCGGCACCCTGGAATGCTCCTCCTGTGAGAGGCCTGTGGGCACTGAGACTGCCCGAGGACATGGCTGGCCTCCCACCTCCCACGGCACTTGAGCTACACACTCACTGAGCAGAACCACCCACGCTGCTGAAATTCATCTGCCTCTCCCCCTCCTCCTGCTCATCCTGCTCATCTTTACTCCTATGAACTTTATCTCATTTGCTCCCCATAACAGAGAAGTTAAATAACTCATCCCAAGTCACTTAAATATTACAAGGCAGACCCAATATTAGATTCTAAAACCTCTCCTCTTCCTAGCATATGCACTTCTACTCATAAATAATTGGAAAAAAAGACACACATGCCTGGAGCAATGATCGAATAAGGCTGAATATAGTTAAGTACGTGCGTAGGAGTAAAGATGAGAATGAGCAGGAGGAGGCTTTTATAGAAGAAGAGAGGTGGGGCCTAAACTGGGTCAGAGAAGAAGAGTGGAATTTGGAGAGGCAGAGCTGAGGAGGGCTTTCTGGAAGAACCACGAAGAGGTTCAGACAGAGGACCGGATGCACTGGGAGGGGGCAGGCTGGAGGTGGGTCTCTCCAGAGCAGAGGCTGGGTTAATGATGGGGGCCCCTGTGCCATCGTCAGCCTTATTTTTAAGGCAGGTCTGTGATGGGAAACCGGAGTCCAGGAAGGATAGACAGCAGACATTTCTAGAGAGACCACAGGAGAAGCCCTTGAGGAATACCAGAGCAGCCAGAGGGGAACGGAGTCGTAGAGGGAGCTCTATCCAGCCACTCCCACTGAGAAAGCATTTCCTTGCTAGATCCCGTTCAAACCCTGGGAGGTTCATAAAGTGGCCTTCAGAACTGATGTAGAACCAATCTTGTTGACTGTGTATAATTTACGTTAAAGGAGGACTCAGAAATAAATCATAAAACCTATTTGGTGAAGAAGAGTAACCTGCCCGTCCACCAAGAGGCACCTGAGGAAGAAGCACCTGTGCAGGTGATGGTTGTTAGAGAGTGAAATGTTTCCCAGTGAGTTTGCGCTGGCCTGGCGGCTCTTACCCCTCACTGTGCAGTAGAATTGTGTGGGAAACATTTAAAAAACTCAAATGCCTAGGCTCTGCCCGACCATCCTGTTTTGAGAAGCTGGCTGGGTGCTTTAGTGAGCAGCCACGTTTGAGAACTGCTCTCGTGGGTGTGTGCAAGTTCAGCTTTCTGGATGGTGTTTGAGTCAGGGTCTCAGACACGTTGGTCAGGAAACCTGATGGGTAACTTCTCTTCCGTTTCCACCTGACATTTTTGGCGGGAGTAGGGAACTGGGCGGAGCTGAATCATCAAATGGCTCTTAAGAGACTTGTTTTCCTTCTGGGAGATCTTCCACCTTTATCTTCAAGGTGCCACAAGGGCTTGATTAAGGGCAGGCGAGAGGAACCAATGTTGAGTGAAGGCGGAAAGCCCTCCCTAAATGTTTTGCCATGTGAAAGACCCCGGGACCTTCACATGACACGATGCCAGGGAGAACTAAAGTGGACTGAGGTTGAATTTTCTACCCGCTGGGGTGGATGGTGCTTAGGAGTCTAAGATAGTTGTATTTTTTTTTTTTTTTAAAGATTTTATTTATTTATTTTTTCCCCCCAAAGCCCCAGTAGATAGTTGTATGTCATAGCTGCACATCCTTCTAGTTGCTGTATGTGGGACTCGGCCTCAGGATGGACGGAGAAGTGGTGCCTCGGTGCACGCCCGGGATCCGAACCCGGGCCACCAGCATCGGAGCGCGCGCACTTAACCACCAAGCCACGGGGCCGGCCCTAAGATAGTTGTATTTTAAGGAAAATAAAGCAATATGATGCTTCTTGTAAGGTTGAGACAACGGGACTACACAATCAAATCAGAGAACCAACCTCACAAATATAAGTTAAGATACATAAGTCACAGTCCTGTTTCAGGGTTCACATTATTGCAGAGCAGAAAAACAGCCTTCCCAGGGTTGCAGGGCAAACAGCTAATGATGATTCAAACTGACACATGCAGTAAGTGAAGTACATACAAAGGCTGTGGTGATAGAGAAGAGGCAACAATTGATTCCAAGGGAGAGATGATAGAGACCTAATGTAAAATGGTGGAGAGAAGAGAGCCTAAAAATATGTATATATACCAAGGAGACTCAGAAGTTTCTGGCTTGAAAGGGGTAGTATCATTTAGTAAGATGGGGAAGAGTGGGGAGCCAGCTTGTGGTGGGGAGCAATCAGGAGTTCCCTCTGGACATGTTGAGTTAGAGAAGATCTGAGGGATTGCACACCTGCCTCGGGGCCTTTGCCCTGCTGCTCCATCTGCGCGGAGCATGCAAGGTCCAACATCGTTCCCAGGCTTAAATCGGGTGCCACCTAGGCTATTCCTGCATTATGCTCATCCCCTACTCATTTTCTATGCTATGCCCCTATTTTATTTCTTTCTAGCACTTAACACTGTCTGAAATTATGTTGTTAGTTTGTTAACTCATTTATTATCTATCTTACTCCAGTAAATGTAAGTTCTCTGTCAGCAGGGACCTTTCGATCGCGTTTGCTGCACTAACCTGTTGTGTAGGACAGTGTCTGGCCCACAGTGGGTGCTCGCTGTGAATTTGTGGAATGAGTATTAAAGTGAAGTGATCAAGTAGGCAGTTGAATATGTGCGTCTGGAGCACAGAGGAGAGAAAAGATCAGACCTGAAGATACACGTTTTAGAGTCATTGCCTAAAGATGGCATTTAAGTCCCTAGGGATTACTGAGACACACCCCCCCCCCCTCAGGTATTGAGGAAGAGGGGGGCAGAGGGCCCAGGACCAAACCCTGAGAGAGCTCCGCATTTAAAGAGGTGACTCTTACCTGTTCCTTTGGAATTTTGTCATCTATCTTTATAATCCTCTTCCTCCTTGAAACTGCCCACCAATTTTTAGTGCCCTCTCCTTCCTTTCTACTGTCATGAGCTGTGCACTTTTCTTGTTTTCCTGATTGAGATCATAAGCCTCTTAAGGGAAGGATCCGTAGTCAAAATTACATTCTTGAATTAGATTAGGTTGTATTGGACTGGACTGGAGTGATAAGCATTGTCGCATTATAGAGTTGTACCCATTGCAATGCCAGTGTTATATGTATTAGTATTTCAAGTTAATGGACACTGTGCCCAAGTTTTAGTGAATTATTATTAAAGATATGTTTTCATTCTCAAGTCAATCATCAGATTCAATCCAGAAATCAAATAATGGAAACAGACCATGCTGTGAATTCAGGGGTTGTGAAAATATAATTGTTTGATCAATATACAATGCTAGATTTTAATTTTTCTCTAAACTTTCAGGATATTGAAAGAAACTTGAAACAAATTAGACTTCAGAACATACAGGAAAGTAAAATTCCAGAGCAAAAATATAAAGCTAAGGTAATAAACATTTTGCCTTTGGGTTTCATATTAAAAGCTGGCTGGGGGGCCACACCTTGTGATCTGGGTGGCCTGTAGGATTTTTCCCCCTACTATTTTATGGAATTGCCTTATTTTGTGATGTTAGACTAATGGTTTTAAGTGTCTGTAGTATCAAATAGGGAGTTGGAATTTTAGGGGTTTTTTTTGGATTGCTAAGATTTTTTTTCTTGCTTTCTTCCAGAGAGGGGTAAAGTTTGAAATTAATTTAGACAAATGTTTTTCTGATGAAAACACCCTCCAAGAGGAAGAGGTATGCCATTAAGTATATATTTACATTAGTAGATATGAGAAAGTGAGTGTCTTAATAGCATGTTTCATGCAATTTTTCTGTAGTGGGTAGGGAGAATTTTCTTAAATCTTCCTAGAGGGAGCTCTGGTCTTCAAATGAGTCTTCCAAAAATACTTTTTATCCTCCCATTCTTTTTGTTATGAGATTATTCCCTTAGATGGATTATTCCATTTTAATTTATTTCCCTTTTATAAAGGAACTGTTTTCCTCATCATATTAACTTTTATCATAGCCAAATTAAAATAGAATACATAGGGGCGTAGCAGTTAAGTGTGTGCATTCCGCTGTGGCGGCCCAGGGTTCAGATCCTGGGCATGCACTGACGCACCGCTTGTCAAGCCATGCTGTGGCAGTGTCCCATATAAAAGTGGAGGAAGATGGGCACAGATGTTAGCCCAGGGCCACTCTTTCTCAGCAAACAAAAAGAGGAGGATTGGTATGGATGTCAGCTCAGGGCTGATCTTCCTCATCAAAAAAAAAAAAAAAAATAGAATACACAATACATAGTCAACAACTAATATACTTACCTGGAACAATTTAGCAGGTACCCTAAAACCATGCACATTTATTTTAGGTCTTAGTTATTGATAACTTTATACTGGTGTTTGGGTAAATCTAATTATGCATTTGGGCTCTCATTGACACAGCAATAAACACACGAATACAGTAAACTCAAACCTCATTTTATTACCTGATTTCAAGATTTTTTAATCCCTCTTTTTACTAGACCTGGTAACAAATATCAAAATTAACTGATTTGTGTTTCCATTTTACTTTCTCTGAATTCACCTTTTAAATTAACAAAAGTTAAATCAGTTAAGTATATGTATCATATTTATTATATATTATATTTTCTATACTGTATTTTCTATGTCATACCTGATACTCAGTTTCTTTCATGTTCGTTATTAGCTTAAAACTTTTTTATGTTAACATTTCTTTCAGGGTTTTTTTGTATGTGTGGTCAAGGACCAGTTTTTTTTGAATAGACTTCATGTTTTAGAGCAGTTTTAGGTTCATGGCAAAACTGAGTGGAAGGTGCAGAGATTTCTCATATACCTCCTGCCCCCACACCCACAGCCTCCCCCATCATTAACATCCCCCCACCAGAGTGGAACATTTGTTACAACTGATGAACCTACATTGACACATCATTATCACCTGAAGTCCATAGTTTACATTAGGGTTCACTCTTGGTTGTGTATATTATATGGGTTTTGACAAATGTATAATAACATGTATCCATCATTACAGTATCATACAGAATATTTTCACTGCCCTAAAGATCCTCTGCTCCACCTATCTTTCAGATTTTTACTCACATTTTGCTACATAAGACTTCATTAGAGTGGTGATAGCTAGCGCTCACCTCTGCTTAACCATTAGGTCTCTGAGTGTCCCAGAGCTGTGAGTATCAGAGGGAAGCAGATCTGGGGACTTGTTTCTGGGTTGGAACCTGAGGAGTGGGACATCCACAGTGCTTCTGTGAAGTGAGGCACCGAAGTTGGCCTGCTAAAAGAATGGAGTCAAAAAAGTGTTATCTACCAGGGTGTTCATCCTTTGTTATTCTATGCTTCGATATGCTTGAAACAGAGTGATCATTTTAGTACTGATTAAGGAGTATTAGGAGCAGTTTTAGGGACCTGATTAGGAATGTTGTATACTTAACGCAGGGCAAGGATGAGATGACCTTGAGAGTCCTGCAGTAGAATGATACTGAAGGCAGGAAGTCTGGATAAAGTTAAGTTGCCATATGATCAGTGCTTGTCACTATTGACACAGAGAAGAAATGAAAACGTTCCTGTTTCTATCTTGTTCCAACATAGTTCCAGTTTTAAAACTCTACTGATTTGTTTAATAAACATATGTTGAATACTTACCATATATCTTGGTAAATTCCTGGGAACACAAAATAATTTTTAAACTTTTTTTTTTCAAAATATGGCTTATTTCTCATGAAACACCGTGGACTTGCTTTAGGCAGTGGATATACGAAATGAAACTTTGATCTTTGAGGACGGCATGAAGTTTAAGGAATATGAGTGTATAAAGGAGCATGAAGATTATACAGACAGAGCATTTGAAAAACTCTGTTGCCCAGAAGCAGGTACGTGTCCCTTGAAAGCTGTAGATGAGAAGGAACGGTTTTATTAGCAATCCTTCTCGACCTCTCTCCTTACTCATCTACTGCGACTCCGCTGTTGCCTGCGCTGCTCTGCTCTCCCTGAGCTGGGCGGAGACCTGCCTCCTCTGCCCCTGTCCAGCCCCACAGGGTGGGCATCCTTGCGACTCAGCCCTCCTCTCTAGCTCCACATTGTCTCCCCGGGCAGCTTCACCTGCTCCCTCAGCTTCAGCTGCTCCCGGCCAGCAGCTCCACACCCACCCATTTTCGTCATTATCTGCTGGAAAGCTCCGTGGACAAGTCTCACTAGCATCTCAAACTCAGCATGTGTACAGTTGAACTTCTGAGCCCCTGCTTCCCAGCCATCCTTTATTTTGGGTAACACCGTCGCCAGGCTGACAGCTCCCGCTGCGTGCCCAGCGTGGGTTCTACTCTGAGATGTCTCTGGAGTCTTCCTCCTCCTTCATTCCCTCTGCCACTGGTTTAGGGCCCTATCATCTGTCAGCCGTGTGTGTGGTAGGAAATGCATGGGCTTTGGAGACAGACAAGAGTTTGAATCTCAGCCGGTGCCGCCACTTTCTGATTGTGTGACCTTTCACAAGGTACTTAAACGCTCTGAATCTCATTTTCCTCTTAGAAACGGGGGATAATAGTACTCGCCACACAGGCTTATTATGAGGACTAAAGTGAAATTTGGTATATAAAGTACCAGGCATGTATTAGGTGCTTAGTAAATGCTATTCCTTTCCCTTCTCCTCTGAATTGCCTTATTCTCCTCTGTCCTCCTTTTCTCTAGTATTTCCCCTTCATTCTCTAAATGATTGGTTGCTAGAGTTATCTTGTCATATGATTATCCTTCTCAAATGTTTTTTGTTTTGATAATGCCTGCAGGATACAGTCCATTCCACATAGTGTCATCACGTTTGACACTGAGTGGCCTGATCCTGTAGTCACCCACCTTTCCTGCCCCAGCACCCCCTCTTTCCTTCCATGGATGATGGGATCCATACAGCCTGCTGGAGCACCCATCTTCCCTGTAGCTATGTGAGCACTTACACACCCTGGCTTGGCTCAGTTTCCCCTTCCTAGAATAATACACTTTGCCTCATTCCCCTCTGGAAAAATCTTTATTCAATTCAGCAGGCATCTTATTGAGAATCTCCCTTGTGCCACAGACTGTGCTGGGTGGTAGGGATCTCAAAGGCCGGCCCCGTGGCTAGTGGTTAATTTCAGCAAGCTCCACTTTGGTGGCACAGGTTTGGTTCCTGGGCGCAGACCTACACCACTCTTCGGCCATGCTGTGGCAGCGATATGAAGTAGAGGAAGATTGGCACAGATGTTAGCTCAGGGCAAATCTTCCTCAACAACAACAACAACAAAAACCATAGAAGTGTCATGAGCTAAAGAAAGGAGGCACAAAACATGTGTTCTGAGGCCGAAATGCTAATCATTGTTGGAGTGTGAGCTGGCTGGAGGGTCAGAGAGGTACCCGCTCCTACAGAGCTTGACGTGCCAAGGAGCTTAGGCTTTATCCTGTGTGATGGCTTTCAACCAAAGGGGATTAAATCCTGTTTGTGATGGGGGAAGATCATGCTGGCTGCAGTGTATGAGGATGGTGTGGAGGAGGGGACTGCAGGCAGGAGAATATCAGGTGAGAAAGGACAGGTACATAGGCCAGAACAGTGCAGTGGGAATAGACCCTGAGTGTGAACCGCTGATTGTGGCGGTTGAGGAAGAGAAGAGGGTCAAGGATCCTCCCAGTTTTCTGATTCAAATGGATGAAGCTGTCACCAACCAAATAGGCACGTACATCATGTAGAGCAAGGTCAGCAGAGATAATGTAATGACCTAATTTGGAACGTATTGAGGTTTAGGTCTTTATGAGCGTCAGCTGGAGATGTTCAGAAGGCACTAGCTGTGTAAGACAAGCCCTGGGGCCAATCAGGGCTTCCTTAGCAATACACAGTATTTCCACCTTGGTGATGGTCGAAAATACCTAGGCAGAGGGACTAGAGTAGGAAGGAAACAGAACCTAGGACAGACCCAGTAACGTTTAGACAAGTTTTGGGAGAATCAGGAGAGAGTAAAGCGAAAGAAGGAGAGAAAGTTCTAGAAGGAGGTGCAGGGGTTGGCAGCATCAACTGGAAGAGAAAGGCCAAGTGAGGTTGAATAACAGCTGTGGGATTTGGCCATCAGGAGCCCTTAGTGGCCTCAGTGAAAGCAGTTTCAGTGGAAAGGGTGAATTCAAAGGTTACTCTTTGCATAAATTTGCTGGGAAGAGGAGAGAGTGGATTGTAGGTCTCAAAAGACATAGCTGCCTTTTTTAGATAAAAAGGAAAAAACACCCTTCATTAGTTTGATACTGAAAATGGCCTCTTAATTTAAACTGCATTCCTGTAATTATTATTCAGGTTGAACAATTTTTCCATATGTTTACTGACCATCTGTATTTCTCTTGTGAAGATGTGCTCATGTCCCTTATACATTTTTCTGCTGAAAATGGCATGTTTGTTTTTTCTTTATAAGACTCACTTAAATTAAACCTTTGCCTGTAATAAGTATTGCAAATATTTTCCCCATTTGGTGCTCAGATCTCATTTACAGTATCAACAGCAAATGTGTGTGTGTGTGTGTGTATACATATAATTGGGAATAAATTTTACAAGAATTGTGCAGAATATATGAAGAAAGCTGTAAAACTTTACTGGGGTATTTAAAGACCACTGGAATAAATGGAGAGAAATAACACTTGTATATTGGAAATATTCTTTCCAAATAAATATATGGATTTTTGGCAATTCAAATCAAAACCACAATAGGATTGTTTTTCTGGTGTGAGGAGATCTTGGCAGATTGGAGAATCTTGGAGATTCTTAACTAGCCAAAAAATATAAGAGCAGTAAAGGGGGACTTACCCTTCCAAATAACAAAATATATAAATTATAGTCATTAAAACAATATGATATGAGCACCAGAAGAGATAAAACAGTGAAAAGAAAAGATAGATTAGAAAGAAACCCTAGGGGCCGGACCGGTGGCGCAAGTGGTTAAGTGCGTGCACTCCGCTGTGGCGGCCCCGGGGTTCGCCGGTTCGGATCCCGGGTATGCACGGATGCACCGCTTGTCAAGCCATGCTGTGGTGGCGTCCCATATAAAGTGGAGGAAGATGGGCACGGATGTTAGCCCAGGGCCAGTCTTCCTCGGCAAAAAAAGAGGAGGATTGGCAGATGTTAGCTCAGGGCTGATCTTCCTCACAAAAAAAAAGAAAGAAACAAACCCTAGTAGGTATCCTAACATAGCATATGCTAATAGTCACATCACAAGTCAATGGGAAAAGAAAGAATTATTCAAACAAATGCTCCTGGGCCAATTGGTTACCAATTTGGGAAAAATCGTGAAATGAGACCCTATATAACAGTACAACAAAGCAAATTAAAAAAAAGTTTATATGTAAAAAATGAAGTTATATACTAGAAAATGAAGTAAAAAAAATCTATTTTTTTGGAGAGGGAAGAACTAGCTATTCAAAATACATAAGAAAAAAATCATAGAATAAATAAGTAATAGATTCAACTTTAACAATGAAAAGCTTTGGTGAAGCAAATAATACTAGCTCCTAGAAAAGCCACTTTTAACGGTTTAGGGTAAATAACCATAAATGTCCACAAAAATCTAGTTACAAATGAGTTCATTATAATATTATAATAGTGAAAAATCTCTAGCAACCTAAAAATCCAGCAAAAAAGAATTAAATTGTAATACATGTACTACTATATTTGCTTTAAAATGGTTGTATAAGAAGAATATTTAATAATCTGGATATATGTTGCTAATTGAAAAAAGCAAGTTATGAAAGGGTGTGTAGTGTGTGGCCCATTTTTTTTCCAAAACAAAGCAAAAACTGTATGCAGGGGAAAACATTTGAAATTTTAATAGTCTCCAGACAGTGGGTTTATGGGTAACTTTTATTTTCTTCTACTTATCTGATTTTTAAATTTCCTATAGTGAAACGTAGTAATAAATAAAGAAAACGGTAACACAAGTTATGTTAAAAATTAAGATAATGGAACAGACTGCATTTCTGTGGAAACTGACTCAGAGTTCTCATAAATGTCTTAAGAAATTTCTCCACATGTATCACTAACGTTTCTTTAGCATTTAGATATATTGGCTAGTCAATCACGTGTTAATAATAAACGTGAAACAATTTTAAACCTGTTTATAATTCCTCTTATAAGTTATGATCCATGTCTTAGTCTGTTTGGGCTGCTATAACAAAATGCCATTAACGAGGTGGCTTGTAAACAACAAATATTTATTCCTCACAATTCTGGAGGCTGGAAAGTCCAAGATCATGGTGCTGGCAGATTTAGTGTCTGGTGAGGGCCTGATTCCATCTTTTTGCTGTGTCCTCACATAGCAGAAAGGGTGTGGGAGCTCTCTGGGGTCTCTTTCATAAGAGCACTAATCCCACTCATGAGGGCTCCACTCTCATGACCTAGGCACCTCCCAAAGACCCCAACACCTAATACCATCACATTGGGCATTAGGTTTCAACATAAAAATTTGGGGAGTGGGGCACAAACATTCTGTCCATAGCAGTCTATATTAGAATGAGGGTGATGATTTCTCTGTTTTTGAATGTACCAGCTGGTGGACTGCCTCCAGGTTTCCTGAGAACTTTTTGGCATGATTAGTCACACTTTAGCTGCTTTTAAATTAACGAGTCATTTTCTTATACCCAGAGTTGTTCATTCAGGATGCTACTGCTGCAGAAAACAGGAGACAGTGGGATGCTGGAGCTCCTCAGACTCTGCTGCAAATGATGGCAGTAGCTGACGTCACCTCCACCTGCTCCACCATGCCTGAAGGTGAATCTAAGATCGGTTGGCAAGAGGAGACCAAGGCCCAGAGGCAGTTGGGTTGCTTACCCTGACATGATAGTTCTCACTTTTCAGTATAGTCCCTATAGATTTGGTATCAAATGCTTTTTTTTTTTTTTTTTTTGTGAGCAAGATCAGCCCTGAGCTAACATCCATGCCACTCCTCCTCTTTTTGCTGAGGAAGACTGGCCCTGGGCTAACATCTGTGCCCATCTTCCTCTACTTTATATGGGATGCCGCCACAGCATGGCCTGACAGGCAGTGCGTTGGTGCGTGTCTGGGATCTGAACCTGGGCCGCCAGCAGCAGAGCTCGAGCACTTAACAGCTACGCCACGGGGCGGCCCTCAAATGCCTTTTAAAGATGTTGTTTTGGTTCCTCCCCTACCTCCCCAGAAACTTGCTTGCTAATTATACTAGACAATTGACCACCCTAACTATGACTGTAAAGGAGGAAAGATCCAGAATCCCATCTTCCTCGCAGTAAGAGAGAATGTACAAGGAAGGGCAGTTGGCTTGATTTGCCTTCAAATGCTAGCCCAATAACTTCTTTGCAGTTTCTTGGAGGGTTGGTTTTTTCAGTCAATAAAATCAGAGTTAAAATAATAGCTCTCCTACCAGATTTAGAGGTAACAGTGCAAAGATACATATAAAATTGCTTTGTACAAGCAAATGTGCTATTTAAATCTTAAGAGTGTTCAGGATGTGATGAAATTTTCATCCTAAATTCCTTTGTTTACGGTTGAGCCTCTGGCATAGTCTCCTTAGGAGAGGTTTACAGCAACATCCAGGTGTTATCTTTACAGGTGGTGAAGATTTTTATTACTTATTTCCTGTGTTCCTCTTGATAACATGGGGCTGGGAGAGGGCTAAAAGTTGTGCCCATGTTATAAGTTGAAATATGTAAGTATATCACTGAAAGTAGTAATTATAAGAGTGTGAATTGACTTATCTTTGTACTATTACAAAATACTGAAGTCATCAAACTTGCAAGAAAGGGCTTGCAAATGAAATACGATTTAATCCATTCTAAGCCAATGAGTCAATAAGAGGGGAAACCTAATTTAAAATAAGCAAATAGAATAGAGATTTTAACACACTAAAATAGCCAGTTTGCAGAGCAAAAAATGACTCTCATACCCATCAGCTATGTGACAATAAGTCAGTAAACTTTTCTGTATCTAGGTTTCTTTACTAATAAAATGAGGGGTGGGATGAGGTTACCTCCAAGGTTCGAACATTCTGTGATTTTATAAAAACTCAAATGAAGAGGCATTTTTATTTTCACTAACACAGTCTCTTCTTCAGATGGCCAAATGATAGTGATGGAACGTGTTCCAGAAAATAGGAAACAGTGGCAGCATGAAGCGCCAGGAACTTTAATGAGTGTTTTGGCAGCAGCACATCTAACAAGTAGCTCATTTTCTGCCAGCGAAGGAGAATTTGGTACGTAGTTTATTTTTAAGAACATAACCAGTCCCCTGAGGAGTTTTGTCCAAGACTTGTAACTGCAGAGAGGGGCTAAAAATACCATCAGCCTGGAGAGACACTTGGGAGGGTGTCTGTGCCTTTTCAGAAGCTGATTTGCTTTGTCCAAGCCTGTTCCAAATACCGTTAACAAAAGACTTAAACTTCTGAGAAGAGTGGGGTAATTTTCGTGAATGTGATCAGTTGACAACCGATGAAAAGTGAAGTTAGTAGGACTAGTGGCTTTGTAGACGATGAGCTCCTATTGCTTAGCTCTGCCTGACGGAGTCAGTTGATTTCTCATAGCTACTTGGCAGACTCAAGTTACTATCCTATGGGCAATAAAAATACATTTTAATGTAGTTTTTGGCTTTGGGGTTTTTTTGCCTCCAATTTTGAGCAAAATTATGCTTGTGTTTACTTTAAGAGAAACCAACCATCATTTTCTAAAGGTTGAGGGAATTCATATCACAGTGGGGATTTGGTCCTCTATCAGGTGTGCAGGTGTGAACTGCTACTGTTATCGGCTCGGTCACATCAGTGCGGTGGGGTCTCAGGTTCTTGGTCCGCAGACAAAGAATTTGAGAGTGGACACAAAGCAGAAGTTTTAACAGAGGAAGATTTATTAGCCAAGTGAAAGTACAACCCCAAGGGGAGAGGCGGGCAGGCTCGAGGGAGCATCTGCACCAAAGTTGGAATGTGTGCCAATCCGGGCATTGTCTCCACCCTCACGTTGGGAGGGGGAGATTTTACCCTTACATAGGCATCTCTGGAAACTGTCGTGGGGGTGATCCCTCAAAGGGGGGGGTCAAAACCACAATGCAAATGAGGGTATAATGAGGCTTGGGGCTACTCTCTGTCAGGGTTGGGGGGAGTCCTGCGCGTCAGAAGAGCTGGACGCTGCACCTGGTGGAGTGACCTTGCTATCAGTCGGGGGCAGTGCTGCACATCGGAAGAGCTGCAGCCTGGCAATTAGGATGTTGCACCTGGTGGAGTAACCTTGCTGCCAGCTCATATCTAGCTTTCTGCCTATCTCACTACAAACCCTTGCAGGCAGGCAGGTATCAAACAAGGAGCATCTGCCCAGGTGCGAGGTTTGGGACCCGGTGTTGTGGAGATGCGAGGTTGAGGCGGCAAGGAGACATAGATACCAACTAGGTAGGAATGGTTGCTGATAAATGCTTACAAAGTTAAAGAACAATATAAAAATATATACAACACTTAGAATAATGCTAGAGAGGTACCTGACTGCTACTGAAGAGTGACTCTGCCAGTTTCTTTTTTTTTTTAAACATTTATTTTATTTTTTCTCCCCAAAGCCCCAGTAGATAGTTGTACGTCACAGTTGCACATCCTTTTAGTTGCTGTATGTGGGACGAGGGCTCAGCGTGGCCGGAGAAGCGGTGCCTCGGTGCACGCCCAGGATCCGAACCCGGGCCGCCAGTAGCTGAGTGCGCACGCTTAACCGATAAGCCACGGGGCCGGCCCAAAGTCTTCTTTAAATAAGAGCATAAAATGTTTAAATGTATAAACAATCCAGTTTGATGTGTGAAAACTAATTTCACAGCTTTTAAGTTAGGATATAAAAGTTTCATACAATTAGTTGCTGTGTGAGAATATGGGATGAATTTATATTACACACTACTGGATGACATCCAATAGCACTGACCTGGCCCAAGCAGGTACTCTGTGGACAAAACATAGTTACAACATTGCCAAGTGCCTTCACCAGATTTACACTCCTCAAACCAGCCACATGGTCTGACCCTGCTCTAAACAGTCTCAGCCTCTGTCATTGGAGCTTTGTATGAAATTAAGTCAAAGCGTGGAGCTCCTTTTCCTCATTTTTTTTCCTTTAAAAAAGAAAAGAAGGGACTGGTCTGGTGGTGTAGTGGTTAAGTTCGGGCACTCCACTTGGGCACCCCAGGGTTCGCAGGTTTGGATCCCAGGGGTGACCGACACACCACTTATTAAGCCATGCTGTGGTGG